GCTAACCCCATGCCCAACCCTCCTCCTTTACCCGGGCTTGGGACCGGCAGTAACTCTGGAAGAGTTACAGGCGGAGTTGTTTATCCAGGCACATTTCGAATAAAAGCGGGAAAGCGAGGTGTAAGAGCACAGGCAAGTGAGATAACTCCATTTGACCAAGTATGAATCCATACCTATAGTCGGACAAAAGTAAGTTACGGACATATGATGTATGGAAAGAGCAATGCACACACATACTCACATAGAAGCAGTCAGGGTTGATGAGTGAACAAATAATAAGGCCAAAATGTGAGTTGAAAAGAGTGGACAAATCGGTCTGTCCAGAAGACAGAATAACCCATTTTGGCTTGACCTAGTACTAGACAATGCAACATGATTTACTTTTACTTCAGCAAGCCCTAACTGGTCGCTTTCAAACGACAATAATTCAACATGGATCTATTAAAATTTAATATACTAATAGAAATGATGGCGACGGAAAATTTATGTAGACGGTTATCGGAATTGTGTGCTAAGCATTGTAATAATCCAAATAAACCACGGATATATCGAACAACATGTAAGGCCAATGAAATATCCCCGAGACTTGGCCAAATAACTCATCAAGCTTAACCGTCCCCGCTATACAGGACTGACCACTTGACGTTGGACTGTACACTGAATATCGTTATATTTGGTAAAAAATAACACGCATTGATCAACCTGATGACATTGTCCGGCACACATTCTATACTTCTATAATCTGTTCAACTTCATAAACGATGTTACCCTGGTAGGATTTTATTCGTTTCTTATCTGCAATGTGATACCAGGGTCGTTTGACTAATGCACTAGGGAGATTTGTGCTGGATGGCAATAGCGCTATGTCACTTAGATTAAGATAACATACGTTCCACATTCATGTCAACCCTCTGCTACTTTAATAGACCTGGAGTGTACAACAATAAAAACAACAAGGCATTGTTATGTGAATTTAAAAACAAAGTGCATGTGCTGACAAACTGATTTCAGAGAATAATTTCTGTTGGCTTATTAGGAATGTCAAGTCGTTGAGACTATAAGCATTTTAACAAGTTTTCTGGATAATCCTTTTATTCTGCTTGTCATAATTCCCAGCGAACCCAACAAACGAGCAAAACCCTTGGCAATGAGGACATATGTTCTTCAACACACGCTAGAAACTGTGTAACATTGAAGAGGATTAAAAATTTCTTGAAGAACAAATAACAGTGTAAACTGATAAGAATTTAGTGAATCTTGCAGTGGAGAATAAACCGCTCTTCTCCAATCTGTTTAACATAATGTGCTTAAGCTTAAAGCTCAAAGCATTTTCTCCAATATTTCTGTGGAGGCTGGATAACCATACCAGGGAAAGTCAGGGTAGTGTTAAGTCTGTTTTACGTTCCTGTCCTTATTCACTTCCCTTCTACTCTTTTGCATATTGTTTCATGCTACTTATTAATATTTAGTAAACAGTTATATCCCTAACAATTTCTACATTTATGTTGTGATGCAGGCTTGTGTTATATTCCGAAACATTTACATATACTCATAACATCTATTGTATTTATCATTAAAATTGCTTTATCTCAATCAATATAGCAGTTACTCTTAAACTTGTGCAATCGTTTACTTCTTGGTTAGACTCAACAGTTTCCATATTTCTTGGTCTTAGTTCAATTTTACATGTGAAAGGCACCTGATAAGTTGACGTTTGTAACTAATGGAGAAATGAACAACAGTACCGCAGACTGTGTGTTACTGCTGAGGAAATGCTCCAGCTTTTATGGTAGAAAGATGCGGCCAAGTTCTACTCCTATCTTAAATTTATCCTAGTCAATTATGAATGCTGACTTTGAAATCTTCCTGACTCAATTTAAGACCTTCATTCATCCAGATGTCGACCTAGATTTGTTCACACTACAGTCGTGTGCCCGCTCAACAACACGAATATGAATTACCCGTTGCACGTGCAGAGGAGTGGAGAAAACGAATTACTAAGCTGAGATAAACACCATGATGACGAGCTTCTCCACTAAGGATTGAACTCATCGAGTTGCAGTGAAATGCAAAACGATTGAGTAGTGATGTATATCACACCAAAATCCTCTATTTAAACCGTACTAAACATCTTAAATGGATTGAAACTTCACCAATAATTAGATAACTATGATAATTAGATGTATTTGAATATTTTTACGAGCTAGGAAGCCCCGAAATAATCTAATTCAGACCAAGTAGAACTAGGTAAGCACAAACGGACTTAATATACATGGAATTAAAAATCAGGAAGGCATCAAATACAAAAGAATCATTAGTTCATACAAACACTACAATAACTCACGTAAGACTACAAGCACAACCTGGAATGTCCTCTAAGTTAATGTGATAACAGCCCCTCAGCAAACAACTTTTTGAGAAGTTTCAACAATACATACTCACCTATAGATTACAGTCCTTCACCTGGAACTGACGTACCTCAAGCATGCCTCGCATCTTATTATAACTACCACTATCACTCCTTTTGTCATTACTATTATACCACCTTTGATCATTTTAACTCATATCACCTCTGATTATACAGCAAATGTATTGGATATTCACGACGACTTCATGTGAAATAATCTGTCTCTAATCTTATTTCAAGCTAATGACGTTAAATTTCGGCGAAAAGCAACGAGAGATTACGATAGATGTGCACTTAAGGTCGACGTAAACTTTCTATTCACTTGGTCTTATTTGCAATTAAAGTCTATGAGCTTGGTCCTGTAGATTCGCGTAAATATTAGACACGCGAAGGTGAGTAGCTTCAACATCGTGAAGAGTTTGCATATGTTGTGAGCAAAATAGAAATATTAGTAACTGAAATGAAATAATATTTTGAGTTCTTAAGTAAATATTGAGTTGCCTCTTTAATGACTCTGTGGTGAATCCCAGTGGAAAAAGTTATTCAAGATATGGCTATACAGTTACCAATGATGTGCCAAAAAAATTAATACTACAAACTGGTGTCTGCTTCTCAGTGGATTCGGACGTTAACAAATGGTATTCAGAACAAAATGATTTATCAAGTGGCAAAATAAAAACAAATGTTATGAATTGAATGTTACTTGTAAGCTCCTAATGAGATAAACACACACTTAATTAACGAAGTTTTATCTGCACGTGGTGGCACCAACATGGTGATGAGAAAGTGTGGTGTTTGAATGAACTAATGACTCCTTTGTACTTGTTGAATGTTTGATTTCGAATTCTAAATACAGTACATTCGTTGGTGCTTGTGTAGTACTTCTTGATTCAATTGCGTTATCCCTGGGATTCTTAGTTCATACTATAATTCAAATACTTCTAATTATCATAGAAAGATAGTACTATTCACAAATAATTAATACGGAAACTCTAACGTAATGGAGAATGGCCAAAGATCATGTTGTAACACAGGGAATGGCTAACAAAGTAGGAGAATAGCCAACAGAGAAAGTGTTTTATTTTGATGACAGAAGTGGAGTGTGTATATGTATGTACTACCACCACTTTATGACCATCTTTAAAATTGATTTAGAGGGACGATAGATATGAAGTATAAATGTGATTACATGAAAAGTATCGCGAATAAGGAAAAAAATGTAGTATTTATCTTATCGCTACAAACTTATTGAATATACAAATCACTACAACCTTTTAAGAGTTACTTGAATAAGGAGCGAGCTTGAAAAAACCAGTTCGCTCATGCACTCTGGAGAGTATGCAATGGCGAGCCACGAAATCAATTCGGTGACTCAAATTCAAACCTTATGAAGAGCGTCTTTAATCACTAAACCTTTATTCATTAGAGTAAAGCCGTCTTAGAAATGACCTTCTATTGGCTTACAGTATCTTTAACAATTTTAGCTCTAACACAAGGGGTAACACCCAGAATGGACTGTAGACACAGCGTCTACTTCTAAAGAGTTGTCCAATGCTGGAATTCGCTTCCGGCTGAGCTGGTCTTCAGGCAGACTTGAATAATGTGATTAACTGGTCTAAATAGTGGCTGATGTCTATCAACGCGGCAAAGTGTGTCTGTATGCACATTGGAGATACCAAGGTTAGTAGATACAGCATAGTTGAAGTGCCAGTACCCGTGGTTCGGTCTCATAAGGATCTAGGGGTAACAGTGAGTCATAATCTTAAGACCATGGCCTATTGCCGGGAAGTCGCAGCTAAGGGCGTTAGAACCCTCTGGGCTTTAAAACGGACATTCACTAAGTTAGATACCATCATGTTTACAGCAGTATGCACAACCTTAGTGAGAACTAAACTTGAGAACTGCGTTCAAGCTGCAAGCCCCTTTTTAAAAGATGACTCGGATATCCTAGAAAATGTTCAGAGTATAGCTATCCGTGTATTTCAAGAATCCGTGGTTTGCCATACAGAAAGTGAATCTAAAAGCTGGACCTCTTCACTCTTTCCTATCGCAGACTAAGAGGAGATCTAATTTTCATGTACAGAATACTGACCTAACTTATTCTCTCTTTTTTCCCACTAGATCGGGACATCTCAGAGGACATAGCAGACGAGTGGAAAAGCTAAGAACGAATAAAATAACGGTGGCATATAGATTTTCACACCGAGTCATCAATATATGGAACCTGCTGCTCGAAGCAGTGGTGTCCGCACCTTCAATTGACTCATTCAAGTGAAGACTGGATACTCACAGAAGAATAACATAGGCCGTTGGCCTTCTGTCCTTAGTAAGCAATTCTGAATAATAACATCTTACTATGAATCACCAATTTATTTTCCCTCTATTATCAATAATATATCTAGGTTCCTACCTGGAGTTATTAGTAAACCATTGCTACTAGACACGGAAGCCCGTTAAGCGAAAGCTTCTCTTATTCTGTCCAAAACCGTTTGAACCATTTGAATAATAAACATATTGAGTATTGAAGTTCAAAAGTATTAATCCAATGGATGTTTCAAATGCTACATTTGTAACGAGGTACAAACCGTTGAAGGTTACCTTTGAAGGGTATTTTGCGCGCTGTGCATGAACTGGAGTCCCATTATGAGTTCAGATGACAAAAAAGAAACGGAAACATCCAATGAATGTGATGAGGGTTTTCTACCTGATGCGAATCCCACTTTGGAATCTCCACGATTCTCTATGGCCATGAAAATGAATCGTCATGATAAGGATAAAGACACATTGCTACCTCGTAAGTCACTTCTATTGAAGCCCTCAAAATCAAGAGGGCAACTTTCGGAAAGTGGTTAGTTTACATGTTCCTAAGGAAGTTGTAAGTCAGCCTTTCGTCATTATCATGATCATGAGCCACCTTTACATTTTGGCTAGTTGCATTTGTGTGTATATGTACACACCAATGGCTATAACCATGGCTGTTTGAGAAATTTCCAGAGATTCAGTTAATAGTTAATTCACCGAAATAATACGAAATGCCCAGTTTTTGTCAAATTGAACAGCTTGTAGTGCATACGAGTCATCTTTCTACGTATTAAGTTAAATACGGAGAGATTGGGTTGCTGTTCTATTTAAAATAGACGTATTGTAAATAATAGGGTCGATCAAATCATAATTAAACACCCTCAGAAGTTACTGTATTCAGGTCTTATTCGGCTTCATAGATTTCTTTGACTGTGAACAATAAAATAACCGTAACCCTTGATTTAGGATCCAAGTTTATACAGCTCAAAATCTGACTTAGTAGTCAACGTGCATTCGTTCATTGTATTCCTTGAAATCTTGGGGTTTAATGTTTGCCTTTCGTTCCTAGATCTCCTTCATTTTCCAACATTATATTGTCCAATTCGTCTCCATCACAGATGTCTTTGGTAATGACTAACTACCATCATTAGGCTTTTTAATTTTCTAGTTATAACAATGTGGCGAACTAAGAGTTGCAACTGTAGCATGTATTTGTTAATCCGATAAAACAACCACTGGTCTTGCGTCCCATCATGTCCATATGTGCTCAAACTTCTAAAGTGCTAACTAGTTCCCCAATGTTCGTGGCAAGTATAGCCATAGGCTGTTTCTAATCATGTAAAACAATGTAATATCATTTGATTAGCACAAAATTTAATGGAAAAGTAGTTTTCTTCATTATAATTTCGTTTGGTATATTTCGTATAGTCACATCAGTACAGTAGGAGTTAGTATGTTTAGTTTTTCAGTCTAAATTAATTCATGAAGTCACCGCCTAAGCTGTGTGTAAAACTGAATACTTTCTTGGTAGAATTTTTCATGTAACCAGAATTGAAGATCGAAGATTGCAATATATCTCAGTACCGGTCGTAGTGGAGTAAGTGCGATCAGTTGTATAATTTCTATTTCTACTAATTACATTTCAGTACTCCTGTGGCTTGTAAAATTACGGACACTTTCTGAGCTGTACATTTTATATTTCTGTTTATCTATCTCGAATTAAACTTCCGCTAGAGTAAACAGTTTTATTCCGCCAAGAGATTGTACATTCTGTGTCCTTTAAAAAATCCTCCTTGCTCATATCTACTTAGTGTTCGGTTCTTATGAATTCGTCATAGTGCTTTTTCGTAAACTGTATTATTTAATCTAACCTCTCCGAAGTCATTTAAAGATGAATCTTTATCATTTTCCATAAACTTCAATTATCAACTATTAAAATCAACCCATTGAAAATAAACTGTTGTTTTATAATTCAAGAAAAAATCAATTAGTTCAATTATGTGTGACTTTAAAGTAAAATTTTTCCGATTTTCAAGTCATGTTTTTAATCTATGTTTAGGGGAGAGTGGTAGGCGTATTTCATTAAATAGTTGAAGTGCTACATATATCCCACTTAAGTATCTTCTTGAAATTATTTATTACTTTTCTTGTTAGCTTCACCTCCAAAGTTTGTGTCAATGAATCAACTTGCTGAAGCAGCTAAAGCATTTTATAATATGTCTTTAGCACATGAAATAACTGTGGATTCTCAGTTTAGACTGGAGAAGTACGAACCACCAGAAAAAAGGTATGTGTTATGATTGATTACTGAGAGTTGTTTCATTTCAAACATGATCATGTCAAAAGCTGGTAATTAAGCAAATATTGATGATCAATGGTTAGTGAAGAGTTGTTACTGTCTTTTTTAAGACTCAAGTAGTACGTACACTTTAGTCTTCTTAAAATTTAGAGGGAATGCTTTAGATGGACCAACCGTTCTGTAATTAAATTCTTGTTCAATAGTTAGAAGCTTTAGTGTATAGCAACTCTTATTATTTTATGACTCGTTTTTCAGTATTCTTTTTTTGTTGTTGCAAAAGTGTTGTATGGTACCCAACTATAGAATGAGGAGAAACAGTACGCGATCTCAAATGATCTTTAGCATATAAACAGTATATTTAAGTTTGATTTCTTCATTCAACTTTATTGAAGAACTTTATCAAACTTAATCCAAATTCCACCTAACAGAAAAATTTTTAAACCACCTGGATCCTGTTTTAGCTATCTGACCACATTAATCCATTGTACTGTAGAGCACACCAATGTATTGCGAGTTTTTGAATCTTCTGTTTTTGTGATCGACGTAATTTATGGTTAATTCACTCTAGGCTCATCTATTTAGCTGCTAATCAAACTTTACAAATACTAGTACTAGTGACCGACTGACCAAACCAAATCAGTCGAAGCGGTCTCCAAACCAACGATCCAATTATTGTATGTTTAATATTTTCAATATCTGCCTATTACTTGCTTAATATAATGTTTTAACTTCTGGACACAGCAAAAATAGTGCACCACTTCAACCTGGTCTATTGATTTAAAATGTAACAGTAGAGTAATCTAAAAGAGAATAATAAAGAAATTAGAAACTCAGTTAATCTAGAATGAATACGTAAAAAAGGTGCTTAAGATCTAGGCATTTTTGTTTGTATAGTTGAAGACAGAGAGTTGTTTAAAAAGGATATTCACAAGAAAATAGTCGTTTATAGGCCCACCTAATAAACCGAACTTGTACAGCTCTAGTCTCAGTATTTCTATCATTTAATTTCTGAGGTTTGAGGTATATTGTTGCAACAACATGCTTATTAATCATGCTGATATTTTTAACATACGACTACTTTTCATAAATATTCCGAAAATGTTTCTTATTCCAAGTTCACGATTAATTAGTGCTATGTTATGCTTTCAACATTCTGTGATATTACTATACTTGTTTTTATCAGTTTTCAAAACTGTTTTTTCGTTGTTGTTGTTGTTGTCAAGTTTGGAATATTGTATTAAAGAAACAATGCATAGAGCATTTTGGGATATTTTACGATCTAGTTTAGAATGTGATCCTCCAGACTATGAACCAGCTTTACGCTTACTGGAAGAAGTTAAACAGGTATGTGATTTATTTGGCTATCTACCTTTTAGTATTAGTACAGTTTAATATGTACTTCAACATCAATGACATTCAATGCTTCATTATAAAACTGCAGATTGAAATCATTCAACATATTTGATTTTCATAATCAAATGACATAGACTTAGTACACTATATTTTCGCATAAAATTGTTTTGACTTATAAACTGAGAAAGAAATTAAGATACTAATTGGGCTTGATTATATCTTTCTTAAAGTGTTTAAATGTAATTTCCCATTTTAATAAACATAAACTGTAAGTTGTTTTCATAGACAGACATAGCGTAAGTCCTCATATAGATGTATATCAATTCCTAGTTGCCACATCACAACGAGAGGAAGTTAACAGGAGGTAAATTGGCGAAGTAAAAGTTATACTACTGATAGTAGAGAGAAGTGAAAGTACACAATCAAAAGTATGTTCAGAGTTGAGAAAAAGGGGGAGGGCAAATCCATGTGCGCCATGTCCCAGTCATTTCAGTTGATAAAAGTTGGCAATCAGTTCACCACCCTCTCTATTCTGTGTCCAAAAATCCTTATTCAGTGATCAGCATACAATTAAATTAAACTAAAAATATCTTTGAAATAATCTCGATGATTCAAATTAAAATAATCGCAACGTTTCATCCACAAGACCTGGTCCGAGCTTCCTTAGATTACTGTCCTGAAGCAGTTCGGACCAGTTTGCAAATCAAACGCTGGAGTTATTTGAATTCCAATCACTAAGATTATTTCAAATATAATTTTTGCTTACAATATCTTCTATATGCCTCGCACCTAATTTTTTTCAAGCTGTTCTTTCCAACCAATGTTAGCCATCATATCTCGTAAGTAGGCTGATATATGATTAAGCTGACAATCCATCATAGGTGTCTTCGGAGCACAGTTGACGTATTTTTGGACCATTAAGCGAACGATGGCGAGGTTGTGTGTAACGCACCAGACAATGGTAGTAAATCGGTTACTGACGTAGTGAATGTTTATCAAGTGAGATGGTTGAGAAATGTATTATTTATATCCAACCATCGTCTACCTCAACAGGTAATGTTGTCTGGTGTACTAGACCAAAATATAGCACAAATCTATGAAGTCACTGACAAGTGGACTGAGTCATGTTGGTAGGTGTAGACTACCTGGTTGGGATCCGCGAGACGATAGCAACCGATGATTAGAGACCTTGAATGTGACATGGCTCAAAGTCGTTTGCAACCGTTTGATGCAGGGGCATCCACTCTTTGTGTTATCCCAAATTCTAATCTTCTGAATTCATATCCCTTTCATTTTTCTCTTTCGAAAATTATTTTACTGAATTATACTCTTTGAATAACATCTTCAAACCCTAATGTTTCGATTACTGCTTATACGTTTACTACCTCTACCACTACGAGATTAGAATCAACAGTTGTATCTGTGTGCTAATGTGGCATGGCAACCCGAACTGATGTACGTACGTACAAAGTTCTACGTCGATACTGACTGACTGCACTGGTAGACTGGAAGAAAACTATAGACGGACAAACCATAATATGGAGTCAATTCACGAAGTCATTGACAATTTAACTGATCCATATAGGTGGGTGAAAAGTAGTTAGTCAAAGTCTACCTAATCGTCGTAACCAATAGTTAGATAATTTGGATGGTATGTCTCAGAATCGTCTGAAGTGGCTCATGTCCTTTGATTGTTTGTCATTTCTTAAATCCTGGGTCCCGAAATTTCAACATAATTTCTACTGTTAATGGTACTGTTACTAGTTCTAATACTCTTGAATTCTTTTTCCTATCCAAATTATTTATAATATATTCCATTATTTATTTTAGTCATTACAAAGTTTAGTTTTGCCTAATCAAACAACATTGAAAACACTTATTGAAAATCTTTTGGATATGGATATAGCTAAATCTCAATTAGAAGAAACTGGTTATTTAAGTTTAGAAATGTATAAAAATGAAGTAATTAATTTAATGAAACAATTTTGTGCTCCAATACGTGATCAAGAAGTTGAAGATTTAAGGAAAATCAATGATCCAATTGATGCATTCAAGTAAGTTTTATCATCATTATTATTATTAATATATGATTTACTTTAAATATTAAATAAAAAACTACTTACATCTAAATTCCATTAGAAAAGTCGAAACTCTTGGCGTTCTTTTCCGGATTATTATTTTAATTTATATCTTGTTCCGCTTATTGTAAGCCCCTAAATGCCATGGTACAGCCGAGGGTGGGGAGAGTTAACTCTCCCTCTTAGAATGCTCTCACATGGCCACGCGTATGCAGACATTACTAGGGAAGTCCTACTCACTGCCTTCTCGTGGCGGGGGGTGTTGTTTACGAAAATAAGAGGACGAAAAGCGAATGTCCGGCGCTTTAATCAGGGAAGTCCTAATCACTGCCTTCTCGTGGCGGGGGTGTTGTTTACGAAAATAAGAGGACGAAAAGCGAATGTCCGGCGCTTTAACCGGATCCCAAACTAATGGTGCACATGGGCTCCAGTATCCTGCGAGAACAAATGGCGTATGAACCAATTGTTGGTCACCGGCTACCATGGGACTGCATCTCCTCACGATGCTCCACTGCCTTGTGGATCAGATCTTAAGGTCAAAGGCTCGAGGTGTGGCCCCCTAAGAAAACCACCTGCTTCGGTTTGGGCACACGGGCAGTATCATAGCCCTCAGACATATCAAATGAGATATGTGTGGCGCATATGTATTTGGTGCCTTCTTGTACCGATATCTATGTGTTAAAATAAAATAAATTAATTAATCAGGCTAGTGGATATGGAAGATTCACATAGGGGAGTTGGAAAACCTTGATTCTATACCAGTGGTGCACATGGGCTCCAGTATCCTGAGGGAACAAATGATGTATGAAACTACTGTTGCTCATCAGTTAGCATGGGACTGTATCTCCTTACGTTGCTCCACTGCTCTGTGGATTAGAGCTCTAAGTCAAAGGCTTGGGAAGTAGCTTAAGAAATCCATTTCTTGGATTTTGGCGCGAAATTCATTTAGCTAACTACCATTTTGGCATTATAAATGACGCCATTGGCTTCTATTCTGAGCCATATTTGATAACGTCTCTAGCCACTGTGTTACACCATCTCTCGGACCCCAGCCAGGGAGTCGTGAAGGACCAACACAAGCTAGTTCTTTGCAGCTTTCCTTCATACCACGACACCATGTCATATACTGACCACCTCTCCGCTTTTTCCAGCCAGTCCCAGGGTCGGCAAATAGTGCACGACGTGGAATTCTCTGGGACGACATTCGTAGAACATGTCTAAGCCACCGAAGTCGGTGTTTCAAGACGGTGACACCAATGGAATTATCGTCTCTGTGCCCGAACACACGATGCCGAACCTCTGCATTACTAACATGGTGTTGCCACTGAATGTCAGCAATCCTTCGGAGACAACGATGATCGAACACAGAGAGTCGTCCAACATCCTCAACTCGGAGAGGCCAGGTTTCACAAGCATAGAGCAAAACTGCTCTCACCGACGCGTTGTAGATCCGACCTTTTACAGCCAGACTAACATCACGAAGCCGCCAAAGATGGCCCAGATTGGCATAAGCCGCTCTGGCTTTCACTATACATGCATTGATCTCATCACTCACGCCACCACCAGCACTTATGCAGCTACCTAGATACACGAAATTCTCGACTACTATCTACTCACCATCCAGAGTGAGTACAGGATTAGAATCCTGCCAGTCTTGTAGGAGTACTTTGCACTTTGAAGGTGCGAAGCATATACCATACCTACGGACATTGATTGCCAACTGATTAAGTGCGGATTGCGTGGCTTGGGCATTATCACACGGTAGGACAATATCATCCGCATACTCAAGGTCGAGAAGTCTTTCTCCAGGCAACAGATCAACACCACCATTACTTACATCCGTCAGAGCTGTTTCCAGAATGCCATCGATGGCAAAGTTGAAGAGGAATGGTGAGATTGGGCAACCCTGCCTAACCCCACTGCTCGAATGGAATAATGGAGAAAGGTGGTTGTATGCCCTCACTCTCCCTGAGGTGTTTGTATATAATGCTTTCAGGATGTTAATAAACTTCTCAGAAACACCCTTCTTCAATAGACAATCCCAGAGAACAGTCCTATCCAACGAATCGAATGCAGCCCTGATGTCAAGAAACACTACGATTGTTGGCCTTTGATAAGTATGGCGGTGTTCTAACATTTGGCGGAGGGTGAAGATATGATCAATACATCCTCGACCGGAACGAAACCCAGCCTGCTCCTCGCGAGTCAATCCTTCTCGGGTTTTGAACAACCTACGAAGTATAACGGAAGCCAATAGCTTGGACTTATCCCCCGATAGTTGTTACAGGAACGACGTGAACCCTTTTTAAAGATAGGGACAACTATCGACTCATTCCATGACGTTGGTACACTCTCTAGTTCCCAGACCTTTGTAAACAACGTCGTCAGTCCCTTAGTCAGAAAGTCACCACCATCTTTAAAAAGAGCCGGAGGTAAGTCGTCTGGACCCGGTGATTTGTAGCGTTTCAAAAGTTGGAGTTCCTTGCGCACTTCCGCCTCATTTGGTGGATCAGCCGTCACCGGCCATGAAGGGCAGGACAGTCTGACCGATGTTGCCGGAGCAGCAGGCCAGTTGAACTGCCCTTCGAAGAATTCTGCCCATCGTCCAAGACGTCGATGGATGTTAGTGATTGGCGTTCCGTCAGCCTCGCAGATTGTTTCGCTCACACCAGGCTTCTTGCTGTCAGTGGCTCGGATGAGTTGGAAGAGCTTCCGGTAATTACCAGATGCAGCTGCTACTTTCAACTCATTAGCACACTCCGACCACCAGGCTTCTCGGTCCTTACGCAGGCTTTGCCCAATTTCAGTACGTAACATCCTTTGTTTGTGGTCAAACTCACGGTCACCCGGAGTAGACCGATGGGCTTCAATGAGTTGTAAGGAACCAGAAGAAACCCAGTGCTTATAAGCGGGACGTTTCGCGAACCCACAACTGACTTTACTCGCCATTTTCATGGCGTCATGCAATTGCAACCAATGCTCATCTATACTTTTCGGTGGAATGGTAGCTAGCCTAGAAGCTAGCTCGGTTCGGTACTTACTAGCAACAGAAGTTGCAGCCAGCTTGCTAACATCAATCCTTTGGTGGCGGTCACTACGTTGTCCACTGAAAAGTAAGGTAAGATTGGCGCAGACCAGGGCATAATCAGAGTCCAGATAGGTACTCCAAAAGGAGCGAGAGTCTTGCACACAACCACGCCAGCGGTAGCTGATCGCGATGTGATCAATCTGAGTTCAGGCTTGAGATGCAGAAGGAGGACGCCAGGTGGCACATCGGCGATGACTGTGCCGAAAGTTAGTGCTAGCCAGGAACAGGTTGTGGTCTGTGCATATTTGCAGTAGACGTTCCCCGTTATCTGTCCTGCGACCAACAAGTCCCCATCGGCCACCTAAATGACTCTCTTCTGTGCCTAGACGCCCGACCCGAGTATTCAAGTCTCCGGCTAGTACTACAATACCGTCGAACGCACTTTCTGGAGAAGAACAGATAACTGGTGGTAGAATTCATCCTTGATCGCATCCGGGCTGCAATCTGTCGGGGCATAGGCGGAAATGACGAAAAGACATCGTTTCTCACGCCGATTTCTTCTCACTTTAATGGAACTTTCTGATCTAACAGCACATAACCGACTGTTAATGGGGATCCAATCGATTAGTGCTGCCTCAGCTCTAGCGCTTAGTGCGACACCAACGCCAGCAAGACCAGACAAAGATGTCACAGGGTCTTCGGATAAACGCACGTAAAACAAGCTTTTTGAAGCGACAGATGGACAGCGAACTTGTAGTACTTCACCAGAGTCTTGAATACGGGTCTCGGATAGACAACACACATCAATATTAAGACTTTCCAAAGACATAGCCAGCCCTATCTGTCGTCCGACCTGCATAAGTGTGCGAACGTTGAAGGCAGTCAGTTTGAATGGTGTACGTGGTTTCAGAAAAACTGCTTCAGTACTCGTATTCGGTGGTAACATACAATTTTCAACCAGGCAGTGACACGATAACGTTTAGATAGGGCCGAATTTTCACCATAAGCGAGCTGCTGTATAAGTCGAAAAATAAGGATAGACAGAGTGGGAATGAAAAAGAGTGAATAAATGACGTAGTAAATAATAATAATAGTGCGAGTCATTTCACTGTTAATCGGAGCGAGAAGAATATTTTCCATAAGTAGATAGTTCATCATGTTTTAGTGTGTGGGCTGAGATACTTCACGGGTCCGGAGATCGATGGAGGTCACACTTCGAGCCTTTGACCTAAAAGTCTAACCCACAAGGGCATTTGGGGGCTCCAGTATTCTGCGGGAACAATCGGGGTATGAACCAATTTCTTGGTCAACGGCTTCCATGGGACTGCATATCCTCACGATGTTCCACCGCTTTGTGGACTAGACCTCTATGTCAAAGGCTCGAAGTGTTACCTCCATCGATCTCCGGACCCGTGAAGTATCTCAGCCCACACACTAAAACATGATGAACTATCTACTTATGGAAAATATTCTTCTCGCTCCGATTAACAGTGAAATGACTCGCACTATTATTATTATTTACTACGTCATTTATTCACTCTTTTTCATTCCCACTCTGTCTATCCTTATTTTTCGACTTATACAGCAGCTCGCTTATGGTGAAAATTCGGCCCTATCTAAACGTTCTCGTGTCACTGCCTGGTTGAAAATTGTATGTTACCACCGAATACGAGTACTGAAGCAGTTTTTCTGAAACCACGTACACCATTCAAACTGACTGCCTTCAACGTTCGCACACTTATGCAGGTCGGACGACAGATAGGGCTGGCTATGTCTTTGGAAAGTCTTAATATTGATGTGTGTTGTCTATCCGAGACCCGTATTCAAGACTCTGGTGAAGTACTACAAGTTCGCTCTCCATCTGTCGCTTCAAAAAGCTTGTTTTACGTGCGTTTATCCGAAGACCCTGTGACATCTTTGTCTGGTCTTGCTGGCGTTGGTGTCGCACTAAGCGCTAGAGCTGAGGCAGCACTAATCGATTGGATCCCCATTAACAGTCGGTTATGTGCTGTTAGATCAGAAAGTTCCATTAAAGTGAGAAGAAATCGGCGTGAGAAACAATGTCTTTTCGTCATTTCCGCCTATGCCCCGACAGATTGCAGCCCGGATGCAATCAAGGATGAATTCTACCACCAGTTATCTGTTCTTCTCCAGAAAGTGCGTTCGACGGTATTGTAGTACTAGCCGGAGACTTGAATACTCGGGTCGGGCGTATAGGCACAGAAGAGAGTCATTTAGGTGGCCGATGGGGGACTTGTTGGTCGCAGGACAGATAACGGGGAACGTCTACTGCAAATATGCACAGACCACAACCTGTTCCTGGCTAGCACTAACTTTCGGCACAGTCATCGCCGATGTGCCACCTGGCGTCCTCCTTCTGCATCTCAAGCCTGAACTCAGATTGATCGCATCGCGATCAGCTACCGCTGGCGTGGTTGTGTGCAAGACTCTCGCTCCTTTTGGAGTACCTATCTGGACTCTGATTATGCCCTGGTCTGCGCCAATCTTACCTTACTTTTCAGTGGACAACGAAGTGACCGCCACCAAAGGATTGATGTTAGCAAGCTGGTTGCAACTTCTGTTGCTAGTAAGTACCGAACCGAGCTAGCTTCTAGGCTAGCTACCATTCCACCGAAAAGTATAGATGAGCATTGGTTGCAATTGCATGACGCCATGAAAATGGCGAGTAAAGTCAGTTGTGGGTTCGCGAAACGTCCCGCTTATAAGCACTGGGTTTCTTCTGGTTCCTTACAACTCATTGAAGCCCATCGGTCTACTCCGGGTGACCGTGAGTTTGACCACAAACAAAGGATGTTACGTACTGAAATTGGGCAAAGCCTGCGTAAGGACCGAGAAGCCTGGTGGTCGGAGTGTGCTAATGAGTTGAAAGTAGCAGCTGCATCTGGTAATTACCGGAAGCTCTTCCAACTCATCCGAGCCACCGGCAGCAAGAAGTCTGGTGTGAGCGAAACAATCTGCGAGGATGACGGAACGCCAATCACTAACATCCATCGACGTCTTGGACGATGGGCAGAATTCTTCGAAGGGCAGTTCAACTGGCCTGCTGCTCCGGCAACATCGGTCAGACTGTCCTGCCCTTCATGGCCGGTGACGGCTGATCCACCAAATGAGGCGGAAGTGCGCAAGGAACTCCAACTTTTGAAACGCTACAAATCACCGGGTCCAGACGACTTACCTCCGGCTCTTTTTAAAGATGGTGGTGACTTTCTGACTAAGGGACTGACGACGTTGTTTACAAAGGTCTGGGAACTAGAGAGTGTACCAACGTCATGGAATGAGTCGATAGTTGTCCCTATCTTTAAAAAGGGTTCACGTCGTTCCTGTAACAACTATCGGGGGATAAGTCCAAGCTATTGGCTTCCGTTATACTTCGTAGGTTGTTCAAAACCCGAGAAGGATTGACTCGCGAGGAGCAGGCTGGGTTTCGTTCCGGTCGAGGATGTATTGATCATATCTTCACCCTCCGCCAAATGTTAGAACACCGCCATACTTATCAAAGGCCAACAATCGTAGTGTTTCTTGACATCAGGGCTGCATTCGATTCGTTGGATAGGACTGTTCTCTGGGATTGTCTATTGAAGAAGGGTGTTTCTGAGAAGTTTATTAACATCCTGAAAGCATTATATACAAACACCTCAGGGAGAGTGAGGGCATACAACCACCTTTCTCCATTATTCCATTCTAGCAGTGGGGTTAGGCAGGGTTGCCCAATCTCACCATTCCTCTTCAACTTTGCCATCGATGACATTCTGGAAACAGCTCTGACGGATGTAAGTAATGGTGGTGTGGATCTGTTGCCTGGAGAAAGACTTCTCGACCTTGAGTATGCGGATGATATTGTCCTACCGTGTGATAATGCCCAAGCCACGCAATCCGCACTTAATCAGTTGACAATCAATGTCCGTCGGTATGGTATGTGCTTTGCACCCTCGAAGTGCAAAGTACTTCTACAAGACTGGCAGGATTCTAATCCTGTACTCACTCTGGATGGTGAGTAGATAGTAGTCGAGAATTTCGTGTATCTAGGTAGCTGCATAAGTGCTGGTGGTGGCGTGAGTGATGAGATCAATGCATGTATAGTGAAAGCCAGAGCGGCTTATGCCAATCTGGGCCATCTTTGGCGGCTTCGTGATGTTAGTCTGGCTGTAAAAGGTCGGATCTACAACGCGTCGGTGAGAGCAGTTTTGCTCTATGCTTGTGAAACCTGGCCTCTCCGAGTTGAGGATGTTGGACGACTCTCTGTGTTCGATCATCGTTGTCTCCGAAGGATTGCTGACATTCAGTGGCAACACCATGTTAGTAATGCAGAGGTTCGGCATCGTGTGTTCGGGCACAGAGACGATAATTCCATTGGTGTCACCGTCTTGAAACACCGACTTCGGTGGCTTAGACATGTTCTACGAATGTCGTCCCAGAGAATTCCACGTCGTGCACTATTTGCCGACCCTGGGACTGGCTGGAAAAAGCGGAGAGGTGGTCAGTATATGACATGGTGTCGTGGTATGAAGGAAAGCTGCAAAGAACTAGCTTGTGTTGGTCCTTCACGACTCCCTGGCTGGGGTCCGAGAGATGGTGTAACACAGTGGCTAGAGACGTTATCAAATATGGCTCAGAATAGAAGCCAATGGCGATCCTGCTGTAACCTTCTTATACATTCTTCATAAAAAGTGGTTGCTTCTTCTTTAACCGAAAGATTTCTTCTGATTGTACTTTTTCGTTTCCCTCATTATAGTTCTCTCTCTCTTTTTTTTCTGCTTCCCTTAAAATTCTCATTGTTTTGTGTAGAGCATATATATTTGGTGCCCTCTTGTATCAATATTTATGTGTTCAAATAAATAATAAATAAATAAATAATTATATTTTGATCCGGTTAAAGCGCCGGAAATTCGCTTTACGTCCTTTAAACTTCGTAAACAACACCCACGTCACGAGAAGGCAGTGAGTAGGATTTCTGTCACAGAGGCTGTATTCGCATGGCCTTGTGAGAGCATCTCGAGAGGGAGAGTGGTCTCTCTCCACTCTCGGCCATACCAGGGCATTTGAGGGCAATTTAAATGAAAAAGTAATTGTCATGCTAAGAGGTTAACCAATGAAATATCAAATGACAAAAGTGTTATTTCTAAAAAGAAAGGATTTCTACAATGTAGTTGATGAAAGAAGTCAACATGTCCTAAAGTTTATTTCCATTTATGTTTGTTTTGTTTTCTTTTTTTCTTTTTTTTTTTTTTTGAAATTTAGAAATGTTTTTATTCTGTTGGATAAAATGCATATGGATTTGGCTAATTTTACAATTAAACAAATGAGACCATATATTCGTCAAACTGCTGTTACATATGAACGAACAAAATTTGCTACATTTTTAGAAGCTCAACAAAGTAAATGAAAATAATATAGATATATATTTATATATTCACTTGGTATTGTTTGTTTGAATCTCTCTATTTAATATTTACGACTGTAATTGATCAGTTTCTCTTATTGGCATATATGCATATTGACTCGATATTGCCTTAATTCACAAGTATTATATGTAATGATGGATAGTGGTTAGCAGTGGAATCCAGAACGTGCGTTTCTTCAAGTAGCTATCAGAACTCAGTAGTTAAGTGGATATTGCAATAACTTTTAAAGCGAACGGTACTGCGTTCGTGTCCCAAAGTGAACATTAACTCTCAGATGCAGGTACATTCAGTTGACGAGTTCGAAATAGGGTGAAACGCGTGTCTAACTGGATTCCACTGCTAGCCATTATCCATCTTTGTATAATATATATATATATATATATATATATATATATATATATATATATATATATATATATATAATGGTTATGCAAGTCTTATCATTTACTGTATATTTTTTGATCATTTGATTTTGTTAAGAATTATGTAACTAATTAACTGTGAAGTGTTCATTGAGATACAAAAAAGTACTTCCGGAAATTTATTCCTAATCTATTTATTAAGTATAGAATCTTGTCCTTGTCCTTAAGCAAACAATCTAAGTGTGTTTGTTTGTGGTAATTTACAATTAAGAAAATGAAATTAAGTAGAATGTAGAGTTCTAACCAATAACCTAATAATAATAATAATAATAATAATAATAATAATAATAATAATAATTACAAATTAGCTATCTTAACTATTATTAAGCTACTATCGAATTTATTGGAATGTACGACATGGATGATCAGTTATAATTATTTAAGCCAAAAAAGAAAGTTATCTCATTCTTTTATAAAATTTCACTAATAATAGTAATTCAGACATTTAGATAATCAAGGTATTGAATCAAAGAATAATGTATCTTGGATATCCAATCTCTTGAATAAGAAACCAGTCAGTCAGCTACAACGTAGGACCAGGCACATACATGCATCGATCCAAGTTGCCATACAGCATTAGCACAACAAGATGAACACCGGATTCATAGAAGTAGTTAATTTAGTGGTGGTAATATATAGAAGAAAGATTTCATACAAGGATATAGTAGAGAAAGAAAGAATTAGTTGGTAGAATGTAAGATATGAAGCGATTTTAATTTCATAATTTAAGGGAAGACAGAGAGTGTACACACCGACACCATTGTGATCGATTTTGAGCCATGTCACTAAGAGTCTCCAACCATTGGTTACGATAGTCACGCAGACCCCAAACAGGTAGTCTGCATCTACCAACATGGCTCAAACCAGAAGTTAGTGACTTCAAGCACTGATGCCACGTTTTGGCCAGTTCGGCCGCCCCTAACTTTCTTCTAATTATCCCTAACACCGGTTAGCATTGCGCGTCGTGGTAACCGTTGTTTAGGCATAAGAAATACTTTTTCTTACTTCTACTGAAGCGTTTTCTAATGTTTATAGTCATCTAAGAATACATTTGAACAATAATCTCATAGTGTTTAAACCTCAACCATAGCATAAAATGTTACTGATAAGCGATTTGTTTTCTCATTAGTTACTCTATCTCGCAAAGTTATGTAAATTATATAATATATAATGTGATTTACTTATTGAAACAGAAGTTAGCTTACAGATTTCACTCTCTCCTCTTTTCACACTCAGGTTTTCACAGAAATGTATGATTCTCTTGATGTTTACTGATAATCAGACAGTTCCAATTTGGGAGTATTTTATACAGTAAATAAAACTTAGGTGTTTTTGTTTCTAGAAATTTTAGGCAATTTCAACTCACTCTATGCTTAAATTCATAAATATCTGAATATCTTTTAAACGGGTCACTATACTTATATTTAATGGTATAGATTTGGTGATAAACATCGAAAAGTTGCACATACGTACATACCAAACAGGATGTAGGTTGTACATAGAATGTTTTACTGTGTGATAGGACTGTCTATTTTATCAATGCTATCTTAGTGCCACTGTAATACTTTAACTTCTAAGAATTTTCTATTGAGGTCGTGAACTGATCTAAGTTAGACAAGTATTTGGAACTCGGAAGCAATGGGTGGTTGTTTCATTCCAGTATAGAACTCTTCAGCAGTGCTCATCCGTAACCTTACAGCTGGAAATCAAATCGAATACCTTCGATCCTACGTGGTAGAACTGAGCCTCTAGACCACTAAGCCAGTATCCGATGGTGTAAATGTTTAACTCCTATCAATCCATGATATTGAGCAATCATCTTTTATTTTCTTCAGTGGGTAACTTTCTCACATCCAACACCGTTCAGTTTCACTGGTTACGGTCTTTCAATAGAAATTTGGAGAATTCCTCTCAAAGCTAGTTACTGGTGAACACATGGTAATTAATGTTATTATGGCTTCGTAATGATTGCTGAATTCTAGTGAAATCACGAATTAAATTTATGTTTTACTCTTATAACTCGACCCTTCCTATCACTATTTCCAATTTCTTCGATTTTTTTTATTTTACTTAGAACTTGGTATTGATGGCTTAGCTCATACACGTGATTGGATTAAACAAGCACATGATGATCTTCTTCATGTATCACATCAACCAATTAATCATGAGTGCCCCAATACATCCAACAATATCAGCACCAATGATAAGAATACTCCAGCGGATCTTAAAAACACTCCAGATAGTTGCTCTACCACAAGTAATGATACTATCCCATTGACACCGAATAATATACTACGTGAAGCTTATTTGAAGTTATTGACATGGCCACGGGATCGTGATTGGCCTGAGGTAAATTTTGAGTGTATGTGTGTTTTTCAACATTATCATACTTAATTCCCAGTAAATAACACAAATATAGTAGTATTGATTTCCTTTAAATACCAAAGGTCAGTGGGTACACAACATGTCATAACCCCAAAAAGTTGTCTACAGAAAAATAACCCTCATCAGTTATTTACTTCTAGGGCAAGTTCCTTCGTTGATATCTTAAAAACACAACAACATCACAATTCAATTCTCTTTTAAGTCATATCCAGTAACATCTCAAGCCACTGGGTTATACGCCATCTCTAGGGCCTCAACTAAGGAATCTTAATGGATCAACAGATGCCGGTCATAGACAGGTATTTTTTGCATCATGATACCGTTCCATAAATTGAACTCTCCCACGTATTCCATTTAATCTCAGCGTAACAAAAATAATACGCGATGTGGAAAATCCTGTGATGACATTCATAACACAATTCCAAGCCCCCTGAAAGTTTGTGTTTCAAGATGGTAACACCGATTGAATCATAACCACTGAACCCAAATACACATGACCTGGATTCCCACACCTTTCCAGATGTATTGAATTTCCGATTCCAGATTCATGTTATTCTTACCAAATTACTTAGCATTTAGGAAGTGAAAAGTTTGTTTTGTACTCATGGACACTAGGTTGAATTGGTTGTGTATCATCACACAGTAAGATAATGTCATCTGCATGTTAAATGTCGAAAAGTCTTTCCTGTTAATGGATCCATACTACCTACTTCCTTAGAAGGTGTTCCCAGAATGTCATCGATAGGAAAATTGAAGAGGATTGGTGAAACTGTTACTCCATTAGTGTAATAGAACAATGGAAGGAGATTGATGTATGTATTCACTCTGTCTGTACTGGTGTACGGAGCCTTTTAAATGTTAACAGATTTCTTATCAGTGATCTTATTTAACGGATAATCTTAAAGCAAAGCCTTGTTCAACAAATGGAAGGCGAAACTGGTGCCATGAAATACAACAGTTGTTGGCCTACAATAATTGTGGTGATGCTCTATCACTATGGAGAGTGGAAATCTGATAAATAAATTCACGACTTGAACTGAAACTGTCCTTCTCCTAGCAAGTTAACTTCTTACGAGTTTTGTGCAACCTGTGAAGTCTGTTGGAAGCCAGTAGTTTGGAAACAATAGAAAGCAGACTTGTACAACGTTAGCTTTTTTCACAAACCCTATAGGCTCTTTTTGAAGATTGAACTGTCTAGTTAAGTGTATCACTAAGTATTATAAGTAGTTAAATATTACATACATTTATCGTTAAACTTCACTAATCTGATCAGAATATTATAAACTGTAGAATTTACAAGGGCACTTTCAAGTGAACTCGTGTTTATAATTGCTTAGATTAAACTATCTAAGCAGATACTACAGTTTGTCTGAATATTTCCTAATTTACTGCTATTCAATTAGCAAATGTACAATTGAAACCCTATTAATCACTTTGTCATATATGATTTTCTGTGTTAAATTTCCATTCTAATAGAATTACTTAGACAATTCTACTGTACAAAGATCAGTCAACTACAACGTAGGACCAGGCACATATGTACATTGGTTCAAGTTGCCATACCTCATTAGGAAACGGGTACTAGGTAAGGATGGCAAATCAATTGATAAAGTAGTAAAACTTCATCAGTTGAGATGGCTGGGACACATGTTACGTATGCACAACCACCGAATGCCTCGACGTGTGATGTTTTATGGTGTAGGAGTAGGTTGGAAGAAAGCTAGGGGTGGGCCAGACCAAAACGTGGCACAAATCCATGAAGTCACTGATATGTGGACTGAGTCATGTTGGTAGATGTAGACTACCTGGTTGGGATCCACGAGACGATAGCAACCGATGGTTAGAGACCCTGAATAACATCTCTCAAAATCGTTTATAATGGCGCAGGTACACATATTTGTGTTCTCTCAAATTCTAATCTCATGAATTCTACATGTCCCTTTTCTTTTTTCTGTTTCCAAATGTATTTCACTGGATTAAACTCCTTGAATAACATCTTCAAACCCCAATCTTTCTGATTACTGCTTATACTCTTACTATCTCTACCACTACGGCATTTGAATCGACAGTTGTATCTCTGTGCTAATGTGTTATGGCAACTCGAACTGATATACGTACGTACGTACGAAATTCTACGTTGTTAATGACTGACTGAGCACAACAAGATGAACACTGGATTGATAGAAGTAAGTAATTCAATAGTGGTAATATATAAAAGGCAGATTGCATAGAAGGATACAGTACAAATGGAATTACTTACCAACATATGAATTAAAAATTCTTTTTTTTCTCAATCCTATTGTTTTCTTTCTTTTTCTCCTCTACACAGACAATGCTCATGGATCAGTATCGTCTTATAGATTTAGGCAATCAATTAACCATTATTATCAATTTAACATCTCTTGTTCTAGTTGTATGTAATTATATAGCATTGAATGTATCAACATTCACTAAAACTGGATCATCTTCATTCACTGCAACAAAACCAATTTTTTCAATGTCACTTGAAACTAGTTTACCACATGATTCAATGATAAAATTGAAAAAATCCATTTGTCAAGATGTTGCACCAATATTACATGGAATCTCTTTAAATTAGTAAGTGTTTAATATGATGATACTTACTTACTTACTTACTTACGCCTGTTACTCCTCTCAAAGGAGCATAGGCCGCTCACCAGCATTCTCCATTCAACCCTGTCCTGGACAATCCTTTCCAGTTCTTAATCATCCCTTTCATATCCGCTTCTATTTCCCGACGTAATGTGTTCTTTGGCCTTCCTCTTTTCCTCTTCCCTTCAGGATTCCAAGTTAGCGCTTGTCTCGTGATGCAGTTTGATGATTTCCTCAATGTATGTTCTATCCATTTCCATCGTCTTCTCCTAATTTCCTCTTCCGCTGGAAGCTGGTTGGTTCTCTCCCACAGAAGGCTGTTGCTGATGGTATCCGGCCAATGGATGTTGAGTATCTTGAGTAGATAGCTATTGATAAATACTTGTACCTTCTTGATGGTGGTTGTTGTAGTTCTGCAAGTTTCAGCTCCGTACAGTAGAACTGACTGTCTTGACGTTCGTATTGAAGATTGTGACTTTGATATTGGTTGAAAGTTGTTTTGAGTTCCATATGTTCTTCAGTTGAAGGAATGCCGCTCTAGCTTTGCCAATCCTCGCCTTTACGTCTGCATCTGAACCTCCTTGTTTATCGACGATGCTTCCAAGGTATGTGAAGGATTCCACATCTTCCAGAGTTTCGCATCAAGAGTGATTGGATTGCTGTTCTCCGTGTTGTGTTTGAGGACCTTGGTTTTCCCTTTGTGTATGTTGAGGCCTACTGATGCAGAGACTGCTGCTATGCTGGCTGTCTTTATCTGCATTTGTTCGTGTGTATGCGATAGGAGGGCTAGGTCATCTGCGAAGTCCAAATCGTCTAGTTGGTTCTGAGCTGTCCATTGTATGCCGTGTTTTCCCTCAGATGTCGAAGTCTTCATAATCCTGTCGACCACCAGAAGAAAGAGGAAGGGAGAGAGTAGACAGCCTTGTCTTACTCCGGTCCTTACTTTGAAGCATGTTTGTGGTTACTTCGATGTCTGACTACAGTGCTTCAGCTGGTATATTATCGGGTCCTGCTGCTTTCCCGTTCTTGATTTGTCTGATGGTCATTTTGATTTCTTCCGTCGTTGGTGGATTGACATCTATAGGAAGATCTGTGTGTGCTGCTTCGATGTCCGGTGGATTCATTGGAGCCGGCCTATTCAGGAGTTCGTCGAAGTACTCTGCCCATCTGTTGCGCTGTTGTTGAATCTCAGTGATTGGTCTTCCTTCTTTGTCTTTGACTGGTCTCTCATCTGTTCCGCTGTTGTTGAATCTCAGTGATTGGTCTTCCTTCTTTGTCTTTGACTGGTCTCTCTGGTTTACTGTATTTCCCTGCTAGCTTCTTCGTCGTATCGTAAAGCTGTCTCATATTTCCTTCTCTTGCAGCTTTCTCCGCCGTCGTTGCTAGTTCTTCCACGTATTTCTGTTTGTCGGCTATAATGCTCTTCTTCACTTGCTTGTTTGCTTCTATATATTCAGCTTATGCTTGGACTTTCTCTGCTCTTGTTCGACTGTTGTTAATTGCTTTCTTCTTGTTCTTTCTTTCTTTGATCCTCTCCAGTGTTTCTATAGAGATCCATTCCTTGTGATGATGCTTGTTGGGCCCAGAACCTCTTGACACGTTGAAGTTAATACTTCTTTGATACCTTTCCAGTTATCCTCCATAGTAGTTTCTTCTTCCTTCAGTAGATCCTGTAAGGCTTGGAACCTGTTGTTGAGAGCTACCTTGAATTCATTGAGTTTGTCAGTATCTCGAAGGAAGGCTGTATTGAACCTTTGTGGTGCTGTTTGTCCAGTTGTCCAGTTCTTTTTTAGCTTCAGTTTCAATTTGGCCACAACCAGGTGGTGATCTGAAGCTATGTCCGTTCCTCTCCTGGTTTTCACATCTTCCACTGTCCTTCGGAACTTTTTATTGATGCAAATGTGATCTATCTGGTTCTCTGTGGTGTGGTCTGGTGAGATCCACGTAGCTTTGTGTATACGTTTGTGTGGAAATGTTGTACCGCCTATGACCAATTTATTGAATGCACACAGATTTGCAAATCTTTCCCCGTTTTCGTTTCTCTCTCCCAGTCCATGTAGTCCCATGATGTCTTCATATCCGGTGTTGTCCATTCCGACTTTGGCGTTTAGATCTCCCATCAGAATGGTGAGGTCCTTTCTTGAACACTTCTCTATGATTGATTGCAGCCTCTCATAGAATTGATCTTTAACGTCGTCGTTGCTATCATTGGTGGGTGCATAACATTGGATAATGTTCATTGTGATCCCCTCCGTCTTTGTTTTGAATGATGCTTTGATGATTCTGGATCCGTGAGATTCCCATCCTACAAGTGCATTTCGTGCTACTTTGGATAGCATTAGAGCAACTCCCTGAGTGTGTGGAGCATTTTCCTCTTCGTGACCGGAGTATAGCAGCATCTCTCCCGTATTTAGCCTTTGTTGTCCAGCTTGGGTCCGATGGGTTTCGCTGATTCCCAGTACTGCCAAGTTGTATCTCCTCATTTCCATTGCTATTTGACTGGTCTTCCCGTTCTCCCACATTGTCCGGACGTTCAATGTACCTATAAAAATTGTTGCTCTGGTTGTTAGAAGGGGCATCGGTCTCATGGCTTCCGAAGGAACTCGGCTTTCACCCTGAGGCTTCATATTTCTAAATGAAGACCTCCTAACTCCCAGGGTAGAGTTTAGATGGTTTGGGTTATTTTTTCTGGTTAGCATTTTTTTAACGAGTTAGTTTCCCACGGGATGGGTTCGCTAACCCCATGCCCAACCCTCATTCTTTATCCGGGCTTGGGACCGGCAGTAACTCTGGAAGAGCTACAGGCGGAGTTCAATATGATGATAAGATAGTTTTATTTTCTTAAAAGTTGATTGATTGATTAGTTACTTAGTCAGACTAGTAGATAATAGTCTACCCGTCATTATCATATATTATTATCGATTCTTGTTGTTGAAATATCCCTTCTTTCTAGTCAGATCATTCACGTATTATGGATCACAATTGTGCTCCCAAATGCCCTGGTACAGCCGAGAGTGGGATGGGCCCGCCTTCCCTCTCGAAATGCTCTCACATGGCCTCGCGTATACAGCCTCTGTCAGGGAAGTCCTACTGACTGCCTTCTCGTGGAGGGGGTGTTGTTTACGAAAATGAGAGGACGAAAAGCGATTATCCGGCGCTTTATTCGGGTTGTTGGATATGGAGGATCTACCTAGAGGAGTTGGAAAACCCTGATTCCAAACCAATGGTGCATATGGGCTCCAGTATCCTGAGAGAACAAATGGCGTATGAACCAATTTCTTGGTCACCGGCTACCATGGGACTGCATCTCCTTACGATGCTCCACTGCCTTGTGGATCAGACCTTCAGGTCAAAGGCTCGGGGTGTGGCCCCCTAAGAAAACCGCCTGCTTCGGTTTGGGCACCCGAGCAGTATCACAGCCCTCACACAAATCAATTGAGATTTGTGTGGCGCATATGTATTTGTTGCCTCCTTGTACCAATATCTAATTGTTAAAATAATAAATAATAATATCACAATTATGTTAAATTTCTGGTAGGTTATCTAGTGTAGTGTCTCATTGGTTTAAAGGAGAATTTCGAGCATTATTTCAAAAAAATAAGATTTTCATTCTCCATTCTTCTACTAATCACAACTATGAACGGTTTAATTTCTGAGATTTTCCAGGAATCATTTGAACAATGAAAACATCCGTAGAAAAAGTGGAGGGAGAGAAAGAGAGAGTAACTTGATGATAATATGATTGGTATATTCTAAAGTTTGCGATAATACCGTTTTTATGATCTTTTTCAATATATTTATTTATGTTGAACAAATCACGTATACTTAGTATTTTTTCATATAGAGTAATGACTTAGTAGTTATGATCTTTGATTTTCAATCAATACTAGATCACAGGTTCAAGCCCCATTCTATCTACTTCAGTTTCGATATCCGATATGTATCAGTAGTAGTCCCCTTACATTTATAGCACATTGATTTCATGAGTCAACTGAAGCTAAACCACCACGGAAAACCTGGAAGCACTGGATGGCTGTTTCATCGTAGTATAGTGGATGCGCACTTCTGAGGAATCCCAAAATAGGACGAAACGACCGTTCAGTTCTTCCAGGTTTCCCATGATGGTCTAGTTTCAATGAATTCAATTATTAAATTACTACAATTTCTACCAAATCCCTCTCACTACTTAATTTCTTCTTTTATTTGTACTTAATATAAATTTAGTAAACCTGATCAATTAGTTGATGATATAATTGAACAAGTTATATTGACAATTGAATTATGGTATAATCGATGCATACAATCTTGTAATCTAGTTACATCATCATCATCTAACTTATCAACATTAACTGAGCATAAATCATTATGTACAACTGCTTCTATGACAGATTATGGACGTAATGAATTAAGTTTACAATTGACTTCAGTTATTCTCAGTGAACATCCTGTTTATAAACTGATGTGTAAGTTTTCTAAACATTTTTTCTTATATGTATATGCAAATAATTTCTGTTTCTCTTTTTTTTCTCTTTTTTTCTTTTCTTTTTGCCAATATTTCCTCTATATATACTACTTTTAATTCTTATCATTATTTTGATTCTTTATTTCTTGAATCAGCTGATCATTAGTTTCACTTGTGATTAATTGAATAATCATTTTATACAATCTTCTAGTTATTACCACAACTATATCATTATAATCTACCGCTCTCAATTTGTACTACTACTACTACTACTACTACTACTACTACTACTACTACTACTACTAATAATAATAATAATAATAATAATAATAATAATAATAATAATAATCGTAATACTATCAATTAAGTAATTAAATCATATGATAATAGGCAACTAACTGAGTGTGCGCGCTCACACACACACGTTTATATATTAGAGTACATAAACATATTAAATTTCAACCATTGTAAGAATAAAATGAATATTTTTAATAGTTGAATTTATGATTTAATTGAAGTTAGATCACTAGAGAAAATCTCGAAACACTGAATGGCTGTTTCATCCTAGTATGGGACTCCTCAGAATGAAATAGCTTTTCAGTACTTCTAGGTTTTCCATAATGGTTTTTAGCTTCAATTGATTTATGAATTCAACTATTGAAATTACTATAATAATGTCTACAAGACCCCTTACTGATTATAATAAAATGAGTTATTGATCATTTTATTCATGTTATAATCTTCAAATGAACTGTAGTCATTCCGCTTTGTTCGTTCCGTCCTAATTTATGGCAGGGGAACATGGCCGGCAAGAGTAGAAGATATTCGTAGGTTACTAGTTTTCGACCATAGGTGTCTTCGAAGCATTGCTCGTATATCCTGGGACCACCGAGTAAATAACTCAGTTGTTAGGATGTGACATGGCTCAAAGTCGTTTACAACCGTTTGATGCAGAGGCATCTACTCTTTGTGTTCTCCCAAATTGTAATCTTCTGAATTCTTCATATCCCTTGTTTTCTTTTTCCAAATTTATTTCACTGGATAACATCTTCAAACCCTAATGTTCCCTATCACTAGTTATACTTTTAGTACCTCTGCCACTATGGGATTTGAATCGATAACTGCATCTCTGTGTTAATGTGGTATGGCAAGTCGAACTGATGTACGTACGTACGAAGTTCCACGTTGTTACTGACTGACTGACATTCAGCTTTGTGTATGTAAAAATTTACCACTGAATTTTGTGATCAATACTAGAAAAAAAAGTGGTGACTATCAATTTATAAACTCATAATTTATCATCGATTTATTGTTTTTATTTATTTGAACACATAAATATTGGTACAAGAGGGCACTGAATGTATATGCGCCACACAAACTTTTATTTTTATGTGGGCTGTGATACTGCCCGGGTGCCCAAACCGAAGCAGGTGGTTTTCTTAGGGGGCCACAACCCGAGCCTTCAACGTAAAGGTCTAACCCACAAGGCAGTGGAGCATCGTAAGGAGATGCAGTCCCATGGTAACCGGTGACCAAGAAATAGGTTCATACGCCATTTGTTCTTTCAAGATACTGGAGCCCATATGCACCATTGATTTGGGACCAGGTTAAAGCACCGGACATTCGCTTTTCGTCCTCTCATTTTCGTAAACAACACCCGCGGTGCGAGAAGGCATGGAGTAGTACTTCCCTGGCACAGGCTATATAGGCGTGGCCGTGTGAGAGTATTTCGAGGAGGAGGGCGAACCCAACCAGCTCTCGGCTATACCAGGGCCAGTTATGATCAGGTTGATACATGAAAGTGTGTAATATTCAATGGACAGTGATATAAGTTTAAATTATTATTTTTTTAAAGGAAATTCGTCATGCAAGTTAGTAGGAAACCATTATTTTTGTATTAGAATAACTGGGAACGTCATATTATATAGTGTATCAAGGAGTGATTCCAATGCCAATATAGAGTCATTGTAATTATCTATAATTAGGGAGAAGACGAAAATATAGCGATAGTAATTAATTTTACAGTGATAGCTCTGTCATTACTTTCTTAAGAAGTAAAATGTGTATTCGTAGTAATTAATCTCTATGTTAAAATAACTGCATTGTATCTTATGATTTTCATAATACTTACCGTTTAAAAGTAATTATTACAACACTTGTGTGGGTTTTTTGTTCATGATCATTAACTTTTTACTTTCAGATAAACGAGCTATGGATTTTCTACGATCTGCATTATCATCCTACCCTCCTGAACCATTACCTTTACCTCCAGGTTTCAGTGTTCTACTTGATCTTGATCAAGATAAACTCAGTTCTTCCACCAACGGAAATGCAACTACTGTTAATTCTGTTGGTTATCTACGTAAACCTCCTCTAAACATCCCAACAACAATGATGTCAGGTGGTAGTAGTACTACTACTGGATTACTTTTTCATTCTTCTCCTTCTAGTCCACGACAAGAATCAATCAATAGTTTTAAAACTTCTAAATTTGAAATATTAAGTTTATCCGATTTAGCAAGTCGTCTTCTACCATTATTAGCTCATAATCGTCATGTATTTGGTTCATATTATGCTGAAATTATTCAACCATTACTTATGCCTGAAATTCAAAAACTTTCTAATACCAATCGTGAAAAATGATTTCATATATGATCTCCTTATATTATATACAATCATTGTTTTCAATTGTAGACAACAACAAGGACTATCCACTGTACATTAAAAAAAAAACAACAACCGCTATTCGTATTATTATTATTATCATTATTAGCAGCAGCATCCGCAGCAACAGTAGTAATAGTTTGTTGGGGGTGTGGGGGTCTTTTTTTTTACACTAACATTCAATTTCTCTATTCATTGTCCAATTGGTTCTTCCATCTCATAACTGTTCCCCCTTTTTTTTCTATAGGAGAATAATAAATAGTATATTGATTACAATATCATTACTCATATGTTCTCCACTACTTTAGTGTTGTTATTTTCTTTCATTCTTTCTTTTTGTTGTATCTGTATATGTAGTCGTGTTATCAATATGAACTTTACTTTACTTTTTCGTTATTATTGTTGTTGTTTATTTTCATTTATAGATTACGTAACTAGTAAGTATTCTAGTTGAATCATTTACTTGTTTCAAATGTTCATTTATTGCATTTTGTGTATCTTTTCTTTCTTTTTTTCTTTTCTTTCTTTTTTTCAACTTTAGTTTTTTTTCCTTTTTGATATTCATGTTGTTTGTTTGTTTTGTTTTCTCTATCGTTTATCTTTTTTGTTATTGTTTTGTATATAATTCTTTAATATTTTTTAAAATCTAAATTGGCTAAATATACATCCAATATTATATTACTATTACGTAATCATCCAAATAGGTTGTTTAAAAGAAATACCTTAGTGATTGTTTCCCTTTTTTTTATTTTAATGGAATAGAATTTTTGTTTTTTTTTTTAATCACATCAATTTCAATTGGTTCTTTTATTGGTTACCTATTAAAATCTATAATTGTTCCTTACATTTTGATTGGTTGATAACTTTTAAACAATTACATTTTATTGTATGTTTTTATTCAAGTACATTTACATGTATTTAGGTTTATTGACTGATTCTATTATATCTATATCAAAATGTAAATAATAAATGAAAAGTTCGATTAAAGGTAGAATATTATTGTACTAATTTTTATGGATTAGATAGTGGTTGGAGGTAGTCGACATGAAACTCTGGACCCGAGTTTCGTGTTACTTGGCACTCGTCAGTAAGGTTTATCTGTAATCTTGATGGAACTGATGCTCCTTAACGGATTCGATCCCGTGTCACCTAGCTTCACAGTCAGAGAGATATTACCACAGAGCCCTCAATGTTGTGTCACCTAGACTGGTGGACACATCGCAACATGGTCAATAGCATTCGATCTGCAGTAATAAGGATTAGACACGCATGATATTGATCACCACCCAGTGATCAATCAATTGTAATTTTCATGGATATTTTATAAATATAACAAATATTCTATAAAAGAAAAAGCTGTTGATAATCGATTATTACTTCTAGTTTTAGGAAAACATCATGTTTAAAGCTTTGCCATGGAAACTTAAATATTTGGTAGATACTCTACAGTAATCAGTGATGATTTGGATGCTCTCAGGTTATCATAATGATGATTTGACGTTGTGTGCTATGAAACATCATCTAATGACTATATTAGGAAAGAATACACATGGTGTATCTTTTTTCGCAACAAATTTTAGAACAATTTCTTTATAAATCTTAAGTAAACATAAATTATTCCTCTTTAAAAGATTTGATAAAGTCTGTCTAATATTTAAACAGTTCATGGAATGTATTAATTCAACATGAATTTGAATAGTATCAACAAAACTGTAAATACTATCTATTAATCACTGTCTCCCACATTTTGGCTAAATCTTTTACAAATGTTGTTTCTTATTTTATTGGTACGGTGTGATCTGTTTGGCTAGAGTTTATAAATCCAGTATGTTTAAAATAAATGATTCATATTGCAGAGGATGAGATTGGTATTCTGGACTTAACTGGCTGAGCTAGGCGGAAAGCAGGACCAATAAGGACTCTAGACTGCTCGTAAGTGTTTTATGCGTCATTGATCTGATCGATAAGTCACTGTTCTGTGATTGGCGGTATCACTACATTATACATTAACAGGGCACTCAGGCCATATATTATAACAATCATTAAAGTACAAATAATTTATAAAACCAAATCAGTTGATGAGGTTATGAATATTCATCGACTGAAATGGTTGGGCAACGTGTTGCGTATGCCTGAACACCGATTACCACGACGCGCAATGCTAACCGGTGTTAGGGATAATTAGAAGAAAGTTAGGGGCGGCCGAACTGGCCAAAACGTGGCATCAGTGCTTGAAGTCACTAACTCCTGGTTTGAGCAATGTTGGTAGATGCAGACTACCTGTTTGAGGTCCGCGTGACTATCGTAACCAATGGTTGGAGACTCTTGGTGACATGGCTCAAAATCGATCACAATGGTGTATACATTCTCTGTCTTCCTTTAACCTATGAGATTAAAATCGCTTCATATCTTTCTTTCTACGAACTAATTCTTTCTTCATGTACTATGTCGTAGATTTGCAATTTTTCTTTTATATATTACCACCATTGATTTAACCGCTCCTAAGAATCCGGTGTTCATCTTGTTGTGCTAATGCGGTATGGCAACTTGAACCGATGTATATATGTGCCTGGTCCTACGTTGCAGCTGACTGATGAATAGATGGGAATGGATTTATAAAATTTGATCAATCCTAACAACATTCACAAACATAATCTAGTTTAGTGCATAGTAACTGATTATTTTCTCAATTTTCATATCTTGATGGCATTGATTATGATCAGTTTTTTTCACGACTACTAAAGATTAGAACGTAACTTAAACCTATGAATTGCTGTAATCTCTTCTGATCTAAAAAGAAAGATTGAAATCTAAGCACAGAATTAAGCGAAGAACTAAATAGTATGACAATTTCCAGGTATTAATACATTTTCATCATTTATACAACAGTCAGACAAGATAACCAATTATTAAAATAAAAAGGAACTCTTAGTGACTCAGGTTCTATTTGGAATGTATAGAGAACTGATTGGTTGCTATAATAGAGTGAATACTGTGAAAATAATAATTTTTGAAACTATCTTCAGAGGAACTATTGTTTATATTTTAATTGTATAATTACTAAATACTTGGATTATTTTATATTTGTATTCCCCTATATGTAAGCTATTCGTGATGCATTAACTGCTTCTATATTATACCTTCCATTGCTAATGGTGTAATCACGTATATATATATATTGGATTTTCCTATTTGTACTACTGTGCCGATTAGATGATTAAATGAGTTTGGATTTACAAACTGAACTGTACTATAGAAGTTTGTCTACCCAATGTGTTCTGTTGTGGCCGTTAGACAAGTGAGATTTAGAAGCTACATCCTTGACCGGTAGGCGTAAGTATTGATTTTAACCATTTTGTCACTGTCATTGACTTATTGGTCAATGGAAGAGCATTTTTTCATTTAATTAATAGAAGGTCATTGATCCTACACAACCGATCTAGGCAACTTTGTCAACAACCGAACTAAATAACACAATTTCTCCTATTAAAAAAAAATAAACAACAACCTGATCACACGAGGCCTAATATGATGTAAAAACCTTTATTTTACCATTTAGGCATTGGTTTTATTCAAAACTAATAATTTTTATATGTAGTTCATTTATCGACTACAGACTAACACACTTGGCTTCGATCTACGTGTTCTTTATGTTTAACTATCAATGATATTACCTGATCGACCAAATATTTTTCCAAGATGATTATTATCTCTGTTGATCTAATGTACACTTCACTAACATGATAGTAATTCCTGTGAAATCACATAATATTGTAGTGAACAAGAATACGAATGGGGACAATCGAATGTATGTAAACACGAAATTACAGAATATCTCAATAAAATCTGAGAACCATGTTGTAAATAGTTAGTTATTTGATGGGGTTTTGTGGAGATTTTAGTAATTTCAATAGTTGAAATCACGAGTCAATTAAAGCTAGACCACCATGAAAAACCTGGGAGCACTCGGCGGCCGTTTCGTTCTAGTATGGGACTCCTCAGCATTGCGCATCCACGATCTCGCCCCTCGCGAGAATCGGACCTAGGACCTATCAGTCTCGCGCTCGAGCGCCTAACCATTAGACCCTTGAGCTGGCCGGCATCCAACGGTGTTAATGCCTAACTTCAACTAATCCACAAAATTGCACCACCGTACACAATTGTCGTCAGTGAGCTGATATCTCACAACAGACATGGTTGAACTCCACTGGTAAGTGCTTCCCACTAGAACTCCAGGAAATGCCTCTTGAAGTCAGTCACTAGTGAGCAGATGATTATTATTTGAAGGGGTTTTTGTGTAGATTTTTAGTAATTTCAACTGTTGAAATAGTTAATTTGCAAAATATCAATCCATTATTTCAAACTTAACTGTTTCTTTTGTAAATATCAGTCGATTGTCTCAGATTTTATTGTTGCTGCATTTTCATACCAATTATTTTCCGTTCTCGATCTTCTACTGAAATACATTCTATTTCTGACTATCGTTTATACTATTTATATAGATATAAGTAGCTCACATCACAGTATTAATAAATTGGTTAGATCAGTATAAGATAGATGAGTTCAAAATCTAATGGTAACATTTCTTTTAATTCAACTATTAGATATAAACAATCTCGAGAATATAGAATGGTATTCGATCTCTTGGTCCGATTTGATATCAGTATAATGTTTTATCAATCAGAAAACCATCTGTTGTATAGCAATACTATTTTCATAGAATAACTACACAACAATACACTAAGGATTGAATGTAAAGTTTTCTTCTTCTTCTGCCAAACTGTAAAGGTTCCAATAAAACTTACAAGTTCATGAAATTGGAATGTACGGAAGCATCTATTTTTAGTTATTCTAAATCAAAAGAGTATAATTCTGTTTTATGTTAATGCTGGGACCACCGATTGAATAATATACAAGTTTGTCATATAGTATTGGATAATGATGGTAAACGCGCTGTTAAGTTAGTTAATCTTTATTGACTAAGTTGGATTGAATATGTATTACACATGCTTAACCAATTTATACATCTATTCACGTTGTTTGAAGAGTGGCACTAGGTTGAAAGAAAGTTAGAAGCAGAATCTTCAAGACTTGGCATCAACCTGTAAGATTATTGGTTGTTGAACTCATCATATAAGTTAATGTAGGTTCACTGTATTATAGTAACCAATACCTATAGAGCTTAAGCAAGATTACTTAGAATAAATCGAGATGATATAGTTTTATTCATTCTTTGTCTCCTCGAAAACATCGAGATATAAACTTAACTTGTAAATTTTGTTTCGTATATTAAGAAGTTCTTCTTGAATTGTATTATCAATGTATAATCTCTTCCATTACCATTGATACTGTCACTACTTTTACCATGAGATTTTTTTGATAATTCCATCTTATTATGTTCATGTGATATGATAATTTAAACCAATGAACATATCTCCTAGGTTCCGTGTTTCTTGTGACTGACTGACTGACTGACTTATTACTTACTTACGCCTGTTACCCCTTAATGGAGCATAAAACCGCCGTCCAACATTCTTCAACCTACTCTGTCCTACTCTTTTCTTTCTAGTTCTGTTCAATTTTGTTCATCCATTTCAATATCTCTCTCCATTTCTCGGCGTAATGTGTTCTTTGGTTTTCTTCTTCGCCTTTGGCCTTAAGGATTTCATGTGAGGGCTTGCCTTATGATGCAGTTGGGTGTTTTCCTCAATGTGTGTCCTATTCATCTTCAACTCTTCTTTCTAATTTCTTCCTCTACTGGAATCTGGTTTGTTATCTTCCACAGTAAGTTGTTGTTGATAGTATCTGGTCAACGGATCTGAAGTTTTTTGCATAGACAACTGATAATAAACACTTGTATATTCTAGATAATGGCTTTCATAGTTACGCTTAGTTTATAAATTTTGAAGTTGATAACCTGAAAGCGGTTTACCTAATTAGATACGATCAATGATGGTTGATCCATAGAATTCAAACGTCAATTGCTGAATAAATGTATACATATCCTACCCTTGTATATAAGAACTTTCGTCTAAATTTGATCGAATAGTTTCACAGTATTTGGGCGCCGAGTTAATGTGAGGAAATATTTCCTTGAAAAAGCTTGGACCAGATTGCCAGACGAAACGTTGGATTCACTTCAAAATTCATTGGCTGAGATTTTACAAATACATTCTTTCTTTTTAATGTTTACACTTGTATAGTTATAACAATCAGTGAAAAACATTTATCTCAACTTTTTATCTACAATGTATCTTTTCTCTTTGTTTGAAATCACTCACATTATTACATAGTAATTTCGGTACTGATATTTACATTGAAACGTGAATAAAGTGTATAGCAACTCACATTCAATTGAGTTTGCTCTCACCTAATTCGGTTAAGCCCTTTTATTAACTTATTAAACGAACAAAGTCACCTGCACTATAATAACTTATTGTATTCTTATTACTGTTGCGAATGTATGTACCTTTATTATTGTTATCCTTGTATGAATATGTATGCTCGGCAAGCCTTACTGCCTACGCATTTATTCACGCTACTAGCTTTACTATTAACCGCTTAATTGACTCGATGATTCATTAATTTCACTATGTATATATATGTCCATGTTATTCATATTCATGACTCGCTCGATCGCTCTCTTTTGCACTTGCTCTCTCTCGCTCGCTCGCTTGCCTGTTTGCCTTTCGGCACTACTATTTAATGCTTGCTTAACGCATCTGTAATTTTGGATATCTGTGTGTGGTCCCATTAATAAACGTAATTAACGCTTCGTATTCGCCTTCTGATTAATATACCGTTGGAGCATTATTTGGTGACGGTTACCGAGACGAACTGTATACGGAGTTTAAAGAATATATCGAACACCGACCACCACAAGTGCTTATCTACAAAGTGTTATTTATTGATTTATTGAATTTGAATAGCTACTAGGTTGTTTGGAAAATATTTAGGATACTTAAATTTCCCAAAAACTTTCTTCATTCTCATCATTGATATTCAAGATTAAACTTTATGTTTTTCTCTGTTGACATCTATACACCATGAACATATATCTTTATACTCTCATGTACACAAAGAAATACTGGTCTTAATTTGATTGTTGAATATTACCTTGAGAAAATCACAAACTTTAATCATGAATCGGTCAATGTTAGGCCATCATTGAAAACTTGGAAATATTGGATGTCCATTTCGTTCTAGTATGGGACTCCTCAACAGTGCTTATACACGATCACGTACACGGTATTCGAACTGAGGATTTTCGATCTCGCTCGCGAATGTTTCACCTCTAAACCACTGAGCGCAGCATGCAAACAACTGACCGATGCTCCTAGGTCTTCAATGATGGCATAACATTGATCGATTCATGATCTTAATCAATATAAACCATAATATAATATTGGAATTAAATCACAGTTAAGTATTATCGAGTTTTCACTCACTCTTTTATTAATTTCAATTATCTTCAAATTAAAAAAAATTACAATAGTTGAGATCATGAGTCATTTGAAGTTGGACCATCATGAAAAACCTGGAAACATTGGACGAATGTTTCATCCTATTGTGGAACTCTTCAGCAGTACGCATCTATGATCCTACCTCGCAAGATTTAAACTATCATATCTACTATCATATCCACAAAACCCCTTTCTTATAAAAAAAAAAAGAAATTAATTAGAATTTCGTATTTTTCACATTGCTCATTATTGTTTTAATCAAAAGAATAAACACAATACATTGAAATATGTATTGTATATATATATATATATATACTTTTGTCTACAATGTTTATTCGTTAATAACAATCAAACTATGTAGAATGAATAGGGTTGTAACTACATCTAATGAATAGAGTCAATAGGATGTTCATTCGTTTGTTTGTTTGTTTGTTTGTTTTGTTCCGTTATTTTTTTTCATTCCCGTAAACATTTGCATTCATTCAACATTCAATTACACTTACATTGTACTACAAAAAAAAAAACTTTTTTTTATTTTTGTTTGTTTTTTTTTTTGTTTTTTTGTTTATAAATAAAAATGATTCATTTGTTCAATAATATTTTCAATGGATAATTGTCCATAACGCCCTGGATCTGATTGAATTAATTCATATAATTTATTTAATTGTTTATAACGTAATTCATTCTCTTCATTTTGTTCATCTATAGATAATGAATTAAATTCTTTAATTAAACGTGATTTTTTTATACTACTTAATGAATTTAAGTAGTTTATGTTAGTAATCGTTTGTTCATTATGATTTTCGGGATGATATTCTATATGATTAATTTTTGTATCTTTTATGATCATCTCTTCGTTTTTAGAAGAGTTGTCTATTTAAAAAAAGGAAAAAAAAATAAAATATGAAGTTTATTAGTATAGGATTGACGAGACGATTAAGTTATTGATTGAGATCATAAACCGATTGATGTTAGATTATCGTTGGAAACGTAAAGGCACTGGTTGGCTGATTCGTCCTATCACTGGACTCATCAGCAGTGAGAAGCCATGATCCTACTTGTGGGATTAGGACCCAGGGCCTTCAATTTCGCATGTGAACACTTAACCTTTAGACCACTGAGTTGACATCTAACGGTGTTAATATCTGGCTTCAACCAATCAACGAAATTGCGCGACTATCTCCCATTGTACTAAGGTAGATAACTGTCTCAACCCGACACAGACTAGCTCCACTGTTTACGGGTTTATTGATTGATTATCATAAGGAAATATGTATTTATTTTAAGGACCTGCTTTATCAGTGATACATAAAGGTTATAGGTTCAATTCAATGTAGAGTTATTTCGTTTTTGTGAATTATTGGTGAATAATCTCAAATTAATGATCACTGAACAAATTTCCAGTGGTCTCTATTTTTCAGTGACATACCGTCTGATACGAATTTGTAGTGGAAATGATAGGATGTTTTCATCAACACAATTGAACATGGAGTAAATCTACTGTTTCTATATTTGAACAATGACTAGCATTGAAGTATGAAGCGTACACTTTATCATATATGGGAATTGTCTTTTGGATGCACTTGTGTTTCATTATTGATTTCTATATCAAGATACAACCTTCTGTGTATTGCTTCGAAACCATAATCATTGTTCTATATGCTACTTCACCCAGACAGCCACAACGTGTTTAATTGATGAAAAGGTACTTGTAAGAGTTTTTCATTTTTCACTTATGTTATTGGTCATCTAAATCCATAATCTTACTATATATAACGTTGACGTTTCAACAGTCAAGTAGTGATTTCAAGTATCAATGGAAACACCAGGTCCAGGTACATCTAACTAATGAATCCCAAATCAGACGAAACATTAGATCTGAATACCAATCCGAAAATTCTAAAATATTTCATAAAAGACTTTATAAAGACATTACACTTAGAATGAACATATGGTACTATAAACTGATCAGTTTTATTCCTAAATATCAACGACAGGATTTTAAAACTATTTGCCAAGATAGACGTTACATTCGGTTCCTAAGCTCTTTTAGTAACGCCTAACCTAGAACTACACAGTGACCTGAACACGACAGAAAAGATGCAAAATATGTAAGAAACACTTTACTTTAGTACAGAAAATATAAAGTTTTCATAGTATTTTAGATATTCTTGGGTTTCCCGAAAATTCTAGAATGCTACTAAACTTAGTAGTAATATAGTAATCAAATAATCAGAAACTCTATATGTGACGTTTCACTTTCTCTATGTTACTGGCTAAAACTTCAAGTGAACGCTGATTGGATAAAATGCTTCTTAGGCTTTTCCTAATCCTTTCTTATCTTTTACGAGAAATTTTCTGGATCATCCCAACATTTATTAACTAACATCTTATACTATACAATCTTCATTGAATATCATAAGAATTTAGATCTGATCATGTTAAATTTTTCGATCTTATTATTTATCATGTTCATTGTGTTGTCATCATTTTCATTTTAATATTCTAAATAGTGAATTCAGAAAGTTTACTTTCCTATATAACTTACACAAGTTATCAATGATACTATGCCATATAGCTTTCTAAATTCTAGATTCTTCTTGATACTGATACTTCTTAATCATTGAAATCTAAGCATATGTGACGCACGTCTTAATCACTTCAATTAACTATGATTAATTGACTTGATAGTTTTTAACAATTAGCCTATAACTAATCACAATATCACTCATTCAATGACTTTAACATAAGTAAGTAGTGTTTTCAAGGTATATTTAATCGGATAATTAAAGCTTACGATAAATGGATAAGTACTTGTTATACATTGATGACAATAAAGAATGATAACAGTTGGAATCTATTTCTGGATTAACATTATACATACAATTTTGTTGTATCATTGTTAAGCACCTAAACGATGCATCTTCCTCCCATTATGAGCTTTATTTTGACCCATAGATTATTATTATTATTAGTATAAGGGTTGTGGAGACTATTAAGTTTTAGATTGAGATCATGAACCGATTGATGTTAGACCACCATTGAAAACCTGGAAGCACTGGACTGCCGTTTCGTCCTATTGTGAGACTTCTCATCAGTACGCATCCACAATCCCGTTCGTGGGATTTACTGTTCTTGAGTAATGCTCAGTCTATTAATTACAGTCTTCCATAATCGCAAACACTTTTTGCTAGATTACGAACAAATCTTATTTCCTTTTTTTTGTGGTAAGATGGGGCATTTTCGGTTTGTGTATAAATCCAGTATGCTTGAAATAAATGATTTATATCACACAGGTTGGTGTTCTGAACTCCAACAGTCAGGGAGAAGGACCGATTAAGACTCTAGACTGCTCGTACGGGTTTTATACATTATTGGTCCGGTCGATAAATAACTGATGTCTAATTAGTTATATCATTACATTATATATATAACGATAGAGCACAAAGCGGCAAATTATAACAGTATTTTAAAAGACCATTGGAGTAAATTTCATTCAATGTAATATGAATTCACTGTCCCTGATCATACCGATTCTTAAGAGTACAAATACCGTTAATAAAGTAGAAGAAAATTAAACAACTTAACATATAATTACAAATGTTTATGTAATCATTATCATAAATACTAAGGTAACAAATTCCATAATCTACCATCTTTATAGTTATGTAATAACTAATGATGCTTTTATGTAATCCATTATATCGAAACATACTTACTTACTTACTTATGCCTGATACTCCTCTCAAAGGAGCATAGGCCGCTCACCAGCATTCTCCATCCACTCCTGTCCTGCGCAATCCTTTCCAACTCTTTCCAGTTCTTATTCATCCTTTTCATATCTGCTTCTATTTCCCGACGTAATGTGTTCTTTGGCCTTCCTCTTTTCCGCTTCCGTTCAAGATTCCAAGTTAGCGCTTGTCTCGTAATGCAGTTTGATGATTTCCTCAATGTATGTCCTATCCATTTCCATCGTCTTTTCCTAATTTCCTCTTCCGCTGGAAGCTGGTTGGTTCTCTCCCACAGAAGGCTGTTGCTGATGCTATCCGGCCAATGGATGTTGAGTATCTTGAGTAGATAGCTATTGATAAATACTTGTACCTTCTTGATGGTGGTTGTTGTAGTTCTACACGTTTCAGCTCCGTACAGTAGAACTGACTGTCTTGACGTTCGTATTGAAGATTGTGACTTTGATATTGGTTGAAAGTTGTTTTGAGTTCCATATGTTCTTCACTTGAAGGAATGCCGCTCTAGCTTTGCCAATCCTCGCCTTGACGTCTGCATCTGAACCTCCTTGTTTATCGACGATGCTTCCCAGGTATGTGAAGGATTCCACGTCTTCCAGAGTTTCGCCATCAAGAGTGATTAGATTGCTTTCTTCCGTGTTGTATTTGAGGACCTTGGTTTTCCCTTTGTGTATGTTGAGGCCTACTGATGCATAGACTGCTGCTATGTTGGCTGTCTTTGTCTGCATTTGTTCGTGTGTATGCAATAGGAGGGCTAGGTCATCAATCAAATTGAAATCGACTTACTTTAAACCAATAATCATTTATAAGAGAATAACACTGATCATTACCATCATCATCATCCAAATCATCATCATCATCATCCAAATCATCATTATGATCAATTAAACAGAACAAGCACCAAATCTTGAAGTTGCTGTCTAGATTACGTGTGTTACATTCATTTCTCATAAATAGAATATATACACAATCGCTTAAACTTTTATGAACTTTTGGAAAAGATTCAAAGAATAACAACTAAACTGATTCTTAGAATAGTAAAACTTTCTATATCATATTCAACTGGTTAAATTAAACTTATATCTATTGTCATATAAAAGAATAAGTGGTGATTTGATTACAATTTTCAAAGTACTTCATAATAAATTTACATGTGATATGCCATCATTTTCATTTTTTTTTTTTTTTAATTTTTGTCATCCAATTTCTCAAGCTACATATCAGTTGAATATCAACATTCATATTAAATCATTAACATGTGAAATGTATTATTTCAACATATGATTCAAGTTTCATTGATTGACTCTTTCATAAGAAAATGAAATCCACTAAAAGATTATTATTATCTTGACTAATACAAATGATCAAATCTTCTATCTTTTCTAAACTAAAATTAATATTGATATTAAAGAGTGTAAATAATAAAGAACATGTTCCAAAAAGTCTTAGAACAAGGGAAAGAAGGATTCTGAATAGTGCAATCACCAAACATTTCCTTGATACAGGACATCAGGTAGATACCTTACAATCCTTCAAGGTGATTAGTAAGCAGCCAAACTCCAGTCTTCTAAAGTTTGCTGAAGCCGTTGCCATCAGGCGTTAAAAACTTGACCTATGTGTTCAAAAGGAGATGGTTGTTAATCTTTCTTTGCCTTGGTGACAAATATTCCTTCTCTGCACCATAAATTATTATTATTATTATTTTTGTATTTATTACATCAATGATTTTCATTATTTTTATTTCTTCAACTACGTTTCAAATTAATAATCTTTTAACTGAACTCTACTCACTATATTCCTATCAAATTTTCTACTCATTATGTAATCAATTGTTTCTAAGCACCCCCTTTTTTGAACTGTTGTCACAATTAATGATGTAGAATATTCTTTCATCACATAAGGTATATATATTTACAATATTCAGTCTATTAATTTCATTTACACCCTTACTATACTATACGACTATGTCTTCAATATAACTTCTAATCAAACCCTCTCATGTAAGTCATTTAAACTCATTATCTAATTATGGTTTATAAATATCACAGGTTGTAAGCAGCTGACAAGAACCTACGAAATAAAAATGAATTCATGCTATTCTGCTAGAATCTTTGTTCTTGCTCTTTTCAAAATGATAAAGGGAATTATGTGTATAAAGATTGGTGTAGAATTATAAAATGGATTCATTTTTATGTTGCTAAGTTCTCATCAACTATTTATAACTTAAAATATTTTTGAAAATCAATATTATTACAGATATTTTTATCACCATTGATTGATCATTGGGTGATGATGAATATCATGAGTGTATAGTCCTTATGAATACAGATCAAATGCTATCTACCATGTTGTAATAAGGCCACCAGTCTAGGTGACATGGGATCGAATCTGTCAGGGAGCATCGGTTCTCTGAAGATTACAAGTGAACCTTGCTGATGAGTGCCAAGTAGCACGAAAACCAAGTCCAGGGTTTCCTGTCGACTACCTCAAACCACCATCCAATAGATATTGTCATACTTATACATAAATATGAGAGTGATTAAAGATGAATATATGTGTATTATGATATAGAGAAGATTCCGATAGAGTTTGGAAGGGAAAATTCTAGAACATTAAACTAGTGGTTAGGATTCATAGAGTTAACAATTATTAGATAATTGCTTTAATAAAGCGGCCTTAACTTAGAATCCTGAAGGGAAGCGGAAAAGAGGATAGGCCAAACAATACATTACGCCAGGAAATAGAATGAGATAAGAAAAGGATGAATTACAACTGGAAAGAGTTGGAAAGGATTGCCCAGGACAAAGTTGGATGAAGTGTGTTGTTGAGCGGCCTATGCTCCTTCACGAGGAGTAACAGGCGTAATTAAGTAAGTAATCAAGCGACCGATAATAGATTATTAGTAATAAAGAAAGATATAAATTGAAATTTTCAAAAAAATGATAATCATGTAATTAAAACTTTAGAAAGAGTTGAAATAATGAATGGCGTAATAAATGAAAAAAACGCTGAGGATTAACGTTACCATGGTAAAGAAAGATTTATTACATAAGATACAGTAATAACCACCTTATTAACTCTATCGGAATCCTTGCTATATCATAATTGATATGTGGCCGAGAATGATCATGATCGGTTGTCTGCATAGTCAGACATGTAGACAGTCTGACAAGTGTCAGATAAGTTATATATTCCTTTATCTTTATTAGTGGGACACAAGCACTTATTATTGATTGTTCATTGTTGTGGATTGTGTCAGTTTTTGATGTGAAAATGTATTCACGTTGTGATCAGGCTAATTACGTGTTCTTAATCATCTGAATTGTGTTAAAGTCTTGTAGAATAGACACTGGGAGGGATCTAGTGTAGATAATCGTTTAAGCGTTATAACAATATTAGACAAAGTAATACCGAGCGTTATAACAATAATACACATATATTCATCTTTAATCACCTTCATACTTATGTGTAACTATGTCAATATCTGTAATAACATTGATTTTCATATATGAAATAGGTTATACACAGCTGATAACAACCTAACAACATCAAATGAATCCATCTATGATTCTACACCAATCTTCATTGTTTACTCTGTTTAAGATGATAATAATAATAATAATAATAATAATAATAATAATAAAGGGAACTATGTATATGATACTCATATATATTCATAGATTACATTCTTGTTAATAGGGGAATAACACATCATTTTATATAAACAAACCTTTAGATTGATTTATTTCTATACAATTCTCATTTGATATAATTGATAATTGATTATGTAATTGAATATCATTGGATTTAATTAATTGATTTTGTTGATTATTTATTGATTTTTTATTTATTTTATGATTGAATTTATTTTTATTTATTTTTGTTGAATGAATTATTGACATAAATGGACATTGTAATAAAAGTTTTTCAAATTCTTCAGGTGATTTTACAAAGGATGGATATTTATGAAATGAATTTTGTTTCGATTGCATTATAATTATGTTTTATTATATGTGTGTTTTTCTTTGGTGGGGGGCCACGAGGAGGAGGAGGAGGAGGAGGATCAGGAGCCAAGGGAAATTTTTATAAAGTTGGATACTGTTGTTGTAGTAGTAGTAGCAGTAGTTGTATTAATTGTAGTTGTCATGAGACTATTTATTAATTAAATAATTATTGAATAAATAATATTTTTTTTCAATCAAATGAAGAAAAAAAATCAATAAAATCGGGCGGAAACTGGGGAAATTTATTGGTGTATCATAATTAACCAATCAAATTGGAGTAATGGGTAAATAATTCTTTATCTGTTTTTTTTGTTTTAATGAGTTTATCATTATGGCTTATTTCCTTTTGAGTAGTATTGTAGTGAACAGAACACCAGTGGGGAACAATCGAATGTATTTAACAACAAATTACAGAACTAGTTAGTAAAATCCAACAACCATATATGAAATGCTCAATTTGCAAAATGTTCATCAATTGTCTTAAATGACTCAGAATCCCTTTGTTCTTGCATTTTCATACAAATTGCATTCTTTCTTCATTCTTTGTTGTTCAATCTTCTCGTCTCTCTGCTGTCAGACACTCTGTTCACGAATAACATCATATACTACTTATGTCTACACAAGTAGCACACACCTTAGTATCAATCAGATATAATAGAAATTTAATAAAGATCTTTATTCATCATGGTAAGTTGCATAGTAGTAATGGGTACCTAATGAAATTCATTGACATATATATGAAGGAGATAAAAAGAAGTAAATTGTATCTATCTAAATTTACATGGTGATGTTTTACTTGTATCTTCTCATTGTTATTTAGGACTACCATTGATCAGTCTGTTGTTGGTTATGTGCATCCTGTGAGGATCGCCTCGATATAACTCTAAGTCACAAGCTTTTTAAGTAAAGATGGATAGTGGTTAGCAGTGTCTATATCGAGGGAATCCGCACAGGATGTACATATGTCAACAAGAGACTCGTCAATTGTTGCTCTAAATAACAACGGGATGATACAAGTAAAACAACACCAAGTGAATATAAACGTTACCCGATTGCACAAACAGGTGGCTATCAGGACTCAGCAGTTAAGTGGATAATGCGATGGCGTTTGAAGCGAACAGTAATGGGTTCGAATTCCGGAGTGAACATAAACTCTGAGATGCAGGTAAATCCAGATGACGAGTCTCAAATAGGAAAAAACGTACATTCTGGATTCAACTGCTAGCTACTATCTATAATTGTACCTACTGTTTCAAAAAAAGTAATTTTCTTAAAATTACAATTCCTAAATGATGCTACTGAAGAAATTATGACTGAAAGGTCAATAAAGGCGGTACAAAAAACATTTTATTCAGCCAGACTGAGTACTGTTTTATACAATTACCCCATAATATAACGGTTAATAAAGGCAGATTGTCTAAATTTTTCATATCTATATCTATTCACTAATTCAACAGTTCCTGTAGAGCCAGTTATATTGAGCGTACATATCGACAAGTCCATCATCGAATAAAATAACACCACCCATTTTGGTTGAGCAAAGGTCAAGTAAGAGTGATTAATAGTTCAATTCTCGTTCACTTGGTAGACACAGGTCATTAAGTGGAATTGAATAAAGCTTTCAAGGTTGTTCAATATATTCCATCAAATTTGTCTCATGGTTTACAAGTTCGTCTTTTGCACATTGCAGAAGCCATTAAAATCCATATTTACAAACCAAACCTCTGCATCTAAAACAAGTTTGTACAATCATTTTTGTTTCCTTGACCATCGGTGTAAGATCTAGTTGGTAACAGAACATTGACAAACTATTTTAGTATTTCTTCTACCACCATAGAAAACCTGGAAGCACTGGATGGCCATTTCGTCCTAGTATAGGACACCTCACTAGTGCACACCCACTATCCCACTCTTACGGCTCAAACCCAGGACCTTCTGTGGCGGATGCGCAATGCTGAGGAGTTTCATACAAAAACAAAAAGGTCGTCCAGTGCTTCCACTTTATCCATAGTGGTCTAGGTTTAGTCGAATGATGGATTCAACTATTAAATTACTACACTCTCCATATAACCCCTTTTATGATACGAAAGTAAGTTTATGTTTTTGCAAATTGTATCGTTTATGACAACTGACATATACTTGAACACTTTCCAAAATACAATTGAACTTTCTAGTTCTTCACATTAGATGAATTTATTAATAAAATGCCTTTCAATTATTTTTAAGGTTTAAAGGGGATGTTACTGTAAATGGTTTTAACCAGTTCATTGTTGCTAATTCGTATCAGAATTATGTTTTGTATAATAACTACTATATGATTATAATGTTTAGTTTTATTAAGAATTTCATACAATTCTGAGTAAAGTTGTCATTAGTATTATTAATGTCATTAATAATACACAGAGTACAAAACTATATGATGTTTATTCAAGTGTCTAATAGTGTTAACAAAAGTAGAAGACGATGGAATTCACCATGACAATCAAAATCAACGAATCATCATGATTTTTGATGATTGAGGAGTTAAAATGCTGATGTATATCATAAAAAAACTTTGAAAGGTATAATAATCATTATGACTTTTAATTGGAGATGTTAGCGGGACATAGATTGGATTTAGGCATGCTCAATGCATGATTGCGTTGACACATGCTGATTGGCTGATTCTTATCCAATCAGCGCTAGTCGATACTTGAAGAAGACTCTAGAATCTTTTTATGTATATCTATTAACGGTTTTCCTATTGTGCTTCTTGCTTCCATCTAACCTTGTTATTTGGAATATAATCTCCTTCCTGCTCAACTGTGTTCTGATTTGGGGACTTGTCGAGTAAATCTGTGTCCGTGAATACTAAGCAATAAGAATAGCTGGGTTATAACCGTAAGACAGAGAATTATAATAGTAGACTAAATTCAGTTAGACACCTAAATGAAAACCAGTGAAAAACTAGAAAATTATATGACACTTCACAATAATATGTACACTTGATGGATAGAATCAAGTATGTTTAAGTCTTTTGTTAAACAATTAATAGTAAGATCACAGTATTGAAGTTCAACAGTATACATTCTCTATATCAATGATTAGTCATCTGAATGATCTTTAAGTTACTGAAGTTGTACTGAAGTAGTCAAGTGAAAATAATTAAATAAATTCAAGTCATTTGATAGAATAAATTTTTCTGGTTTAAGGATATATGCAACCAGACACAGGATGTACAGTATGCACAACCTTCAATCTCTTAGTTATATAAAATTTCTTTAAAAGTAGTTGTAGTTTAAGTGGAATCCTTTCACACCATAAAAAGCAGATTAAAGTAGTTTCATTGTGCTTAACTTATAATCGTATATATCTTTTCCTTTGTTGATGTCAATAATAGCGAATGGTCTATTTTAGTTACAGTCCTTGATATTCACAACAACGAGAAACATTAACATTTATAGATTAGATTCATTTCTGTTGCCTGAACTTGTGGTTATCCGGACTCAATAGCACTTACTAGATAGTGAGCTAGCGTTTTGAGCAAAACATACTTGATTCAAATCCCAGAGTGAACACCAACATTAGGGTCTAGCTCACGAAATCTAAATAAGAAAAAACAGATTCCTAGATCTTAATACCAGATAATGTTTGAGCTTAATGTTATGGTACTCTTATATATAATTCTCAGGTAGGACAGTACCGCAATTTCGTGGATTGGTTGAAGTTAAACATTAACAATGTTGGATACCGACTCAGTGGTTCAGAAGTTAGGCGTTCGAGTGCGAAATCGATAGTTACTGAATTAAAACACCACGAAGCGGGATCATGTTTACGCACTCCTGAGGAGTCTCATACTAGAACGAAACGTCTGTCCTGTATTTCCAGGTTTCCCACGGTGGTCTAGCTTCAATTGACTTATAAATTCAACTATAAATTTACAAAAATCTCTACGAAACCCATCAATGACCTCTTTATAAATCATGAACATATAAATATTGATCGATTATCAAACTTATTCTATAGAAAAATCAACATCGATTAATTAGAATAAAAAAAATGAGGTCAATACAGAAAAAATTTATTGATATAAAATTTATGATTAATATATAATCATTAGAAAGGGTTTTGTAAAGGCTTTAGTAATTTCAATAGTTGATATCATGAGTCAGTTGAAACTAGACCACCATGGAGAACATGGAAGCACTGAATGGCCGTTTGTTCCTAGTATGGGAATCCTCAGCAGTGCTCATCCACGATCTCGCATCGTGAGATTCGAACCCACGACCTATCACTTTCGCGCGCGAGCACTTAATCATTAGACCGCTGAGCAGACAGACATTCAACAGTGTTAATGTCTAACTTCAACTAATCCAGAAAATCGCATCAGATTACACCATTGTCTAATGATTAAGCGCTCACGCGTGAGAGTGATAAGTCCTAAGTTCGAATTTCGCAAGCCGAGATCATGGATACGCACTCCTGAGGAGTCTTATACTAGAACAAAACATCTGTCCATTACTTCTAGGTTTTCTATGGTGGTCTAACTTCAACTGACTCATGATTTCAACTATTGTAATATATAACGAAAAAAAAAACAAAGTAAAGATTAAGAAAAATCAATCAAATTTTATTATATGAAATTATCAGTTTTTCATGTTTATTCACCATGGCAACTACATATATAACAATATTTTATTGTTTTTTATGTTTATCAAACCATGATTTCATAAATAACATATAATATCTCCAAATTGAATTTGGTAATAAACTAGTTAAATATTCTTTAATTGCATGACCAATATAACCAAATGTTTCATTTTCAACACCTAACATATCTAATGCACTTTTAGTATATTCTTTTGCATTAGGTACAAATATAGACATTTTACAATAACCATTCATTGCTGTAGATACAAACATTGGACAAACTGTTTGTATAATAATACGATGATCATAATTTTCATTAGAGATTGATCGAGATAATTGATTCACAAATGATTTAGTTGCTGAATATAATGATAAAAATGGAAAAGCTCTATAACCAGAATGTGATCCAATATTAATAATAGCCATACCATTTGTTGATTGTTTTAACATTTTCGGTAATACTAAATGGGTCATAATAGCAATTGGTAGATTATTACAAAACACAATCTTTTTAATAAAATCTATAGACATGTAATCTGTTGTTGCATAATAGTCTAATTTAGGAACACCCATACCAACATTATTTACTAAACATGCAATTGATGATAATTGATCTATAGCTTCTTTTATTCTTTGATAGACATCAATCTATGAAAAGAAGAAAATAAACGTGAATTGATGAATATGGAATATAATCATTTTAATAATTCAGATCATGAGTCCATTGAAGTTAGATTTCTAATGTGTGGAGTTCAACTGAGTCTGTTGTAAGATAGTAATTCATTGAAGACAATGGTGGATGTATTGCTCTATTTCATGGATTAGTTGAAATTAGACATTAACACCGTTAGATTCCAGCCAGTATAGTGATCTAGAGGTTAAGCACTCGTGCATGAGACTGATAGGTCCTGAGTTTGAATATCACGAGGCGGGATCGTAGATGTGCACTGATGAGGAGTCTGAAAACAGGACGAGATGGCCATCTAGTGCTTTCAGGGTTTTCCATAGTGGTCTAGTTTTAATTGATTATTGAACTTCTTATGAAGCTATTTCTTTCTTTTCTTAGCCACGTCGAATAATATGTCTTGAATTCTTCTATATAAAGTACTTATCGAACGATCTGTATACATAGCTCTACATAAACAAGTTAATTGATAAGTACACATTGAATTAGTCAGATATGATCATTTATCTTGAAGATTATTAGTGAACAATGATCGGCTGAACAATACTATTTACAGCATTGTTGCAAAGAATAAACTCTTCAATGAACTAATCTTTCTTATTAAAAAAAATTTAACAATCTCATTCCATGACATTATAGGTTATGCTTTTTGTAGTATATCCAACCTATATACATCAATTATGTTTTCAGATATAAAAGAACTAACTAATCAATCAACCAACATTGAATTAACTACTTCTATAGATCCAATATTGATCTTGTTGTGCTAATGAGGTATGACAATTTGAACCGATGTATATATATGTGCCTGATCTTATGTTGTAACTGACTGACTGAATGATCAATACTAAACTTTTTCTTAATATACAAATAATGTTTATTCATCATTTAGAATACTCTCACATACCTATATTATCAATGCAATTTTAATGATATTTTCTTTATGGAATTCAGATAGAAGTAGGAGCTATCATTTAAAAAAAAGTTTAATATATAAGAAACATTTGGTGGCCTGTTTGAATAGCTAAGCTAACTGTTCCTGTCTACTAGATATTTTAGTAAGTTATCTAATTTTAGAAGGGGTTTATGTGAATATTATAGTAGTTTTAATAGTTGAGATCATGAGTCCATTGAAGTTAAACTACCATGGAAACCTTGGAAGCACTGAACGACCATTTTGTCCTATTATGGGAATCTTCAGTAGTGTTTCATCCACGATCTCGCCTCTCAAGATTCGAACTCAAGACTTATCGATCATGCATGCGAGACTATGGTAGTCTAGCTTTAATTGTCTAATGTCTATTAATCGCACAACCTATTCAGGTGCATTTCTGAAAAATGTATAATCTTTCATTGTACAAGTTATAAAAGGCCCAGTCAGAGATATTGTGGTTGCTGGAAGTATACAGTTAAAACAATTTACATGAATTAATTGTCGATTGAATGGACTACTAACTTTAAACTGACGATTACCTAATATTTATCATCAGGATCGACCAGGAAATCAGAAACGAACTAATCAGATATAAGATGACAAGTCTCAGATTTTGGTTCGAAATCCACTCATCTATTTGGCTAAATAGAATCTTGGCATTATAGTTGATGTCAGTTCGTGATAAAAACTCTAAATGTAATTCCTAACCTTAACTATGAACTTCTTGACACAGGTTTATAAGGCTCATTTAAACGTAGTATGTAAGTAGGCACTCTCAACGCCAGTCTGGTGTCACTCAAAGTTTGTCCATAAATGAAAATGTCTCACTATACTGACTTACCTTTGTGAAATCAGCTGTTACTATTCTTGTCTCAACATGATAATTACGTTCAATCTCATGAGCAACATTCAAAAGTTTCTCTTCATTTCTACTAATTAACATAATTTTTAAACCATCTTTAGCTAATTCTTCAGCATACACTTTACCAATTCCATCTGTTGCACCAGTTACAATTACCCATTCACCAGCATGTTTTAATAATTTCCTTTTAGAAAATAATCTCTTTCCAATTGTATAAATGAATATGATATATAGAAGAGAGAGAAGTTGTTTGATGAGAAATAAACCAATAATAACATAAATCAAATAGATCCAATCCATCTACAAAATAGAAAATCAGATAATTGATAACTTGAAGATGTTAACCTATTCAATGATTTCACTTAAAATACATTTACATTATGAACTGATATTACTAAGAGACTATAAAGTACTGAAAGTTTAGTTTCAAAGAATTATCATACTCACCAGAAGACTAAATGGGTATCAACTCAACCACTTCTGAAATGGGTCCATACAATCCAAGATTCAAAAGAGTATAGACATGATTATGATAATTAGGTAATTAAATTTCTCCTTATATTAACTACTAACTTACTTACGTCTCTTACTCCCAATGCAACATAGGTCGCCGACCTGGTCCTTTCCTTCCAGTTCTATTCAATTGTTGTTCATTTTTGTCATGTCTGTCTCCTTTTCTCGACGTAATGTGTCCTTTGGTCTTCCTCTCCTTCTTCAGCCTTCAGGATTCCATGTATGGTTTGCTGTGTGACGCAGTTATGTGCTTTTCTCAATGTGTGTACTATTTACTTCTAGCAATTCTTCCTGATTTCTTCCTCCACTGTGGTCTGGGTTGTTCTCTCTCAAATTAGGTTATTGCTGATAGTGTCTGGTGAACGGAGCCCAATTATTTCGCATAGACAACTGTTAATAAACACTTGTATCTTCTGGATAATGGCTTTTGTAACTGTCGAAGTTTCCGCCCTATACAGTACAACTCTGTTGACATTTGTATTGAAAATTCTGACTATGGTATTGGTTGGCAATTGTTTTGAGTTCCAGATATTCTTCAATTGTAAATATGCTGATCTTGCATTGCGATCCTCGCCTTCTAGTCTACATCAGATCCACCGTGTTCATAAATGATATTGCCCAAATATGTAAAGGCTTTTACATCTTCCAAATCTTCTCCGTCAATTGAGATTCGATTGTTGCATGCCATGGTGTATCAGAGAATCTTGCTTTCCCTTTGTGTATGTTGAAAAGTACTGCTGCTGAAGCTGCTGATCCACTGGTCGTCTTCTCCTGCATTCTTCGTTGCGTTTGCGATAGAAGAGCCAGATCACCTGCGAAGTCTAGATCGTCCAGCTGCATCATAGATGTCTACTGTATCCCATGCTTCCCCTCAAATGTGGACGTCATCATGATCCAGCTAATCACCAGGAGAAAGAGAAAGAGTGAGAGTAAGCAACCTTGTCTGACACCGGTCTTTATCTCGAAGGAGTTTGTCAACTGTCCTCCATGCATGATTTTGCAGTTTAATCCATCATATGAATTTCGTATGATATTGACTATTTTCTCAGGCACACCGTAATGTCGAAGAAACCTCCATAATATTGTCCTGTCCGCGCTATCAAATGCTTTCTCGTAGTCAATAAAGTTGATGTAGAATAATGAATTCCATTCAATTGATTATTTCACAATCATTTGTAGTGTTGCGATTCGATCTGTACACGATCTATCCTTACGGAATCCTGCCTGTTGGTCTTGAAGTTGTGCGTCTACACAGTCCTTCATTCTATTTAACAATACTCTGTTGAAGACTTTTCCTGATATTGAGAGAAAAGTGATACCTTTATAGTTATCACACTTACTTTGATCACCTTTCTTTGATGCTAAATTACAAGTCTTTCTTTCTACTTTGTTGATACTTCTTCTTCTATATTCTATATCTTGTTGAAGAGTATGCATTTACTGCTATATCTACTTTCAGTATCTCTGATTGAATGTTATCTAGTCCTATTGCTTTACTGCTCTAGATTTATCCAATAAACATGAGATACATATATAATTATACAAAAATATCTTTTATATTATTCATTTATTAATTCTAATATCTTGACAATGATTATATCATTAATAGATTACATAAAGCATATCCTTTTAATGAATTATAAATAACATTGTATAGTATTTCATTTAAATAACTTACTTATGAATGATGTTTATTTTGTTTGTTTGTTTGTTTTGACTTGTGATTAAAATAAAATAACTCAAAAGAAAAAAAAACGAAACAAAAAAAAAAGAAAGAAAAGTAACAAAAGAAAAAAAAAGAGAGAGAGAGAGAGAGAGAAACTAATATACTCAATCAATTCAATGTGTTAATAATGTGTTCAATCATCCAATCATATATCACAATGAAATAATCAATAAAATGATCCATGTCAATCATGTGTTTTAATAAAACATGTGTGATTGAAATAAATTTTTTTTTTGCTTTTTTTGTTTTAGCGGCAAAATGTATTTTATCATTGAATGAAAGTGTATTTGGCAGAATTATAGTTTTAAAAAAATTAAAAAAAAAAAGATTTACTAGATTGGATAATGATGTTTAAGTTATCTATAGTTTATCATTGGTTATCATATAAAAATGGTTTGAGTTATTTTTTTTCTGGTTAGCGTTTTTTTTTTGCGAGTTAGGTTTCTACGGGATGAGGACGCTAACCCCATGCCCAACCCTCCTCCTTTACCCGGGCTTGGGACCGGCAGTAACTCTGGAAGAGATACAGGCGGAGTTTGGCATCTCGGGCGGGACTGCATTACGAGACAAGCGCTAACTTGGAATCCTGAAGGGAAGAGGAAAAGAGGAAGGCCAAAGAATACATTACGTCGGGAAATAGAAGCAGATATGAAAAAGATGAATAAGAACTGGAAAGAACTTGAAAGGATTGCCCAGGACAGGAGTGGATGGAGAATGCTGGTGAGCGGCCTATGCTCCTTCACGAGGAGTAACAGGCGTAAGTAAGTAAGTAAGTAAGTATCATATAAAAATCGTTTAATCTAACAAGTTTGATATGTTTTGTTTGTTTATTTCTGGCGGGAAATTTGGATGATTCTGTCGATCTTTCATATTAGACGACTATTCCATGTACCTAGATAAATAGTTAATTTGGTTATCAGAAGGAGTTTTGTGACTTTTGAAGGAATTCAATATTCATCATGAGATGTCATAACTCTTTTAAATGAAAGACCTAACTTCTAGGACTGAGTTTAAATTATTTTCTCTGTTTAGCGTTTTTTATAGGATTGGAAAAGCAACAGCAGCATATTTACAGTTGAAGAACATCTGGAACTCAAAAAAAATTGCCAACCAATACCATAGTCAGAATTTTCAATACAAATGTCAACAGAGTTGTACTGTATGGGGCGGAAACTTGGACAATTACGAAAGCCATCATCCAGAAACTAAAAGCGTTTACAAACAGTTATCTACGCAAAGTACTGCAGATACGTTGACTAGACACTATTAACAAGAACATACTTTGGGAGAGAACAACCCAGATAACAGTGGAGGGAGAAATCAGGAAGAATTGCTGGAAGTGGATTAGACAAATATTGAGGATAGCACCCAGCTGCTTCACAAGGCAAGCTCTCAATCGGAATCCTCAACGCCAAAGGAAAAGTGGAAGACCAAAGACACATTACGTCGAGAAAAGGAGGCATACATGAGAAAAATGAACAAAAATTGAATAGAACCGGAAGGAAAGGCCCATGACAGAATAGGTTGGAGAGTGCTAGTCGGCGGCCTATGTTGCATTGAGAGTAAGAGGCGTAAGTTAGTAAGTAACTAAGTAGGTACGTAAGCAAGTAAGTTTTCTAAAAAGGATGGGTTCTCCAACCTCATGCTCAATCCTTCTCCTTTATCCGGGCTTGCGATTAGCAATAGCCCCAGAGGGGCTCATGGTGGAATTCGATAATCAATATCATTCAAACTATATGAAATTGATCTATAAACAGTGGAGGTTCATTGCAAACATTTAAATTCTACAATGTGTTAATCACTTTACAATTGCTTGATAGTCCAATTTTATTAATTCCTGTTTTGAAGAAAAGAGAATAAAATTGTTGAAGGGATTATCACTTCATTTAATATCTAAGATTATTACTATCCTCATTTGTTAAAGAACAGTTCTCCTGTTATCCTTGACGAAGTCTATGAACTAACATAGATTTGTGAGTTTTGCAAAGTAACTACTCATAAATACTCATCATGTTATTCTGTCATACTTTAACCTAATCTTTGAATTCCAATATAAGTCAGCTCCTGATTGTCTGACTTATTCACATAACTTATTCGTGATTATCTAGTCAACTAAAAAAATGATAATCGACTGATTATATCTAATAGAGGCTACAAACAATGTGAACAGGAACTTGAATCACTATCGAATGATATCATTTCCTCAATTGTTAACATTTGAAATGGTCATACAAACAATACATAGAATAATAACATTCTTATGTTTACATGTTTACGGTAACACGAAACATTCGCATCATCAGGGAGGTTTCTGGTTCAATAGTAGTATCAATCATAAATAGTTATAAAGTTGTTTATGATTGATTAACTGCATATTCTATGTCCTAACTTTTCATTTTATATGATGTGTACTACTGAAGATAAACATATAAGTAGTTTGAATCGTTTATATTCATTTCCAGTGTTTGTTTTTTCTAGCAATTTTTGATTAATGTTATGAACCACATATTACATATTATATATTATCTTTCAGGACAATGAGAATGTATTCACAGTTTGAGTATATTAGAATTCAATAACATATGATTAATTACTAATATGGATAATCCAATTACTTTAATAAGTTTAAGGAGATTGAAGAGAGAGATTGATTATAAACACAGTGATCTTGAGTGCCGTTACAGGTATGATGGCAGTTATCACTTCCTGGGTGCCCACACCATGGATGAGTTCTTCTAGAAGCACAAGAAAAGGAAATTGGATTAGAAGCTGTCTTAGTGACCTGACAGCGTGATCGCAGTGTTCAGATGGCAACTGCTTGACGTCGGTGAGTAATTTCCGTGTTGGCTTGCCGAAGGAAATGGATATCCTTGGGATAAGGCGAGGTGTGCATTTTTAGAGTCGACCTTTTCTAACCCACCCTTCCTTATGAGAAGGCAGGATCGTTGTTATACTTGTTGTCTGAAAGAAACACCTTACTGCCGTCACACCTTTAAACAGTCAGCAGTACAACTTCGCCTTCGGGTTTGTTGCTTTTAGTCTTACCTCTCTTCAACCAACCTGTCTGAAATACTAGGACCTTGGGGAATGATTGTTTCAGCCAATATCGCTCGATTGCCTCATCACGATAGGCAAGGCCGACCACGACCTCAAGGTAGCAGCAACGGTTGGTAGTAATAAGTTTAATTAGTGTTAGATAAGAAATGAAATATTGTGTAATGTTGTTTTGTTTAAGTAAAAATGAACGAATGTGTTAATTTGGCTGTGATTAACTATGTGAAATTTATAAGTGAATAGAAATACATAATCATTTTCAAAAGGTGATCATAGCAGAGAAGTCACGTTGTGCAAAGCTCAATACACAATTCAGAAAGCTGGCGTAAATTTTTCATCAAGTTTTCGCACTATACAGATACATTGAGATGAACTTGTCAAGATAGTGGAAAGTATCAAGTATAGATCAAATGATACTCGAGGAAATAGTGGATTTAGAGATTAAAATAAACTTTAAGTAATTTTGAAATTTAGGTTCTAACGCACAATGGACCTTGTCGGAACATTGTCATTTGTCTCTCATCATCGATAAATAGAACATTACGAACCATAACGATATAGTCAACATTAACCAACATGGTTGGATCTATCAGAAAACAGTTTCATGATAGTAACATGAGCTATTGAATCAAAAAATGTTTTCATTCAACAAAATTATGATAAACTGAAATAGTTCTGCAATTTCGTACTAAACATACTCTATTTCCGATAGCACCAAGAACTTACAAACTGTATTTATTATTAGTTAAACTTCTTTACAATCTACTGGATCATAATCTCAGTAAATCTTTAAATCAAGTTAGTTAAATTGAGGATTAGTTACCTAGACAAAATGAGAGTGGACTTGACACGTAGTTACTCATCACAACTCCTGCCATTTACTAAGGTCTTCGTAGAGTGTTAGGTCTTCTACTTGATTAACACCGAACACGATAAACAACTAACGGTACTGGAACTCATAGAACCTCCACAATCACAAATCAGAAGAAACAGGAGAAGTGATTATTAGGTAAGAGTCAAAAATGTACAGAAAATCATAGGTATTCATAAATATTAGCGTCAGCTATAACATTATGATTCGGCTAATCCACAAGGACGCAAGTCATGCGACTGTCCAACCGTAGCGTGCAAAGTTGATATTCTAAAAAAACACCATCCGGTTCTGATTGGGTGGCAACTCTTCGGCTTCTTTAGAGCTTCTGGAAGCTCCAACGTCCTTCTCAAAAGCCATATCAACATAGAGCAACCATATATCAGAAGAACCTTTTGATGACACTATTAAAAAGTACAATATCAGGACAAAACGGTCATCCAGTATTCCCTAGTTTTCATTAGCTTTATAACTAAGAAGAGTTCGTAAATTAAGCTATGAAAATAAGAGAAAAATTGACCATAGTATACATAATCACACGTACCAATTAATGATATTCTTTTAACCTTACGTCATTCAGTTTTTCCTCAGGTAAGCATATATATTATCACAAGGAGGTTTTGTGGAGATATTAGTATTTTAATAGTTGTATTTATAAATCAATTAAAGCTAGACCACAATGAAAAACCTTGAAACTCTGGACTGTCGTTTCCTCTCAGCATGGGACTCATCAGCGATGCACATCAACGATCCTGCCTCGCGAGGAACTATCTATCTCGCGCGTAAATGCTTAACCTGTAGACCACTGAACAGGCATCCAACAATGTTAATGCTTAACTTCAACATAGGTAGTGTGTAAAACCAATCAAAACTTAAATAGCTGTCAGTAGAAGGCTTTTATTATATTTTATTTAAACATATAAAGATTGGTAGAAGAAGGCAATCCCGTGGTAGTTGGTGACCAAGAATTACTTCATACACCAATTGTTCCCTCAGGATCCTGGAACGCATGTGCACTATTGGTTTTAAACTAAGCATTTCCAACTCCCCTAGGTGGACTCTCCGTGTCCACCAACTCGGTCAAAGCGCCGGATATTCGCTTTTCGTCCTCTCAATTTCGTAAACAATACCCCCACCGCGAAAAGGCAGTGAATAGGACTTCCCTAGAACAAGGTTGTATGCAAGTGGTCAGAAGACTGAAAAGATTACATTGAAGTAAAAACAGAAATGAAAATAGAAAGGAATTGTCATCTGAAGAAAATCATACCATATATGAGAGATAATTGATGGGAGAGTTACAATTGAAGCATTTCATGTATAGTTCTCATATTTTGCAAAGATATTCTATAGTCTGTATTGAAAGATACAATAGTTATCTCCATCTGACTTCTCGTTCATTACATATAACTATCTTATATACTTTATTTTTATTCTTTTTGCTTAACTATACCATGTTACTTAAATCTTAAATAAATTGATTATATAGAATTTATCATTAAAACATTGATACTTTTCATAAGAGATTTATTCAATAAGATGTCATTCACTTCACTTTGTCAGATTTATTCAACAGAATATCAATTAGAAATATAACTATTTAGATTGTTTATTCAACATTTAAACAATCTTGACAATGTTTCTGATATGTGAGTAAGAATAATAATGACTGGTTTTATGAGGTATTTCTTGGAGTTCTAGTGAGAAGTAGTAATTTCAATATTTGAGATTAGTAGAGTTCAACTGGTTCTGTTGTGAGATAGTAACTCATTGAAGAAAATGGTGGATATGTCGCTCAATTTTGTGGATTAGTTGAAGTTAAACATTAAGACCATTGGATGCCAGCCATCTCAATGGTCTAGAAGTTAAGCGTTCGCGTGCGAGACCACTAGTTCCTTGGTCCGAATCTTGCGAGGTGCGATCGTAAATGCGCACTTCTGAAGAGTCCGACAATAGGACGAAACTGTCGTTCAGTGCTTCCAGGTTTTCCATGATGGTCTAGCTCCATTTGAGTCATCATCTCAACTATTGAAATTACCATAATATCCACCAAACCCCCACACCTTTTGATAATAATGATTGTTTGTTTGCTTAGTCAGATTTGTAGATACTTTGACAGATGTTAGATGAGTTGTATATTCTTCTATCCTTATTATTATTGATTGTTGTTGTTTTTTAGTGTGGCAATATATTTACGTTCTAGTCAGACTAATCACATGTTATTGATCTGGGTTGTGTTGAAGTGCGGTAGAATAGACACTAGAAGGGAACCCATTGTAAATATTCATCTAAAGTAGATCAACGTCTCATCTGTGTAGACGAAGAAAATCCGACCGTTATCAAATCGTTTCATATAAATTTGATTGATTATTGAACATTGATTATTGACAAATCTAATAATTCAATCAATTAAAAATCATTTAAAAATGTAGCATTAAATAAAAATGTAATTGCGTAATCTATATATTCATTATACACTTTGAATGAACTCTAGATATTATTATTATTATTACACAGTAGTAGGTCATAAAGGCAGTTCTACTGTACGGAGCTGAAACTTGGAGAACTACAACAACTACCATCAATAATGTACAAGTATTTATCAATAGCTGTCTACGCAAGATACTCAACATTAATTGGCCGGATACCATCAGCAACAGCCTTTTGTGAGAGAGAACCAACCAGCTTCCAGCGGAAGAGGAAATTAGGAAATGACGATGGAAATGGATAGGACGTACATTGAGGAAATCATCAAACTGCATCACGAGACAAGCGCTAACTTGGAATCCTGAAGGGAAGAGGAAAAGAGGAAGGCCAAAGAACATATTACGTCGGGAAATAGAATTAGATATGAAAAGCATTAATAACAACTGGAAAGAGCTTGAAAGGATTGCCCAGGACAGGGTTGGATGGAGAATGCTGGTGAGCGGCCTATGCTCCTTCACGAGGAGTAACAGGCGTAAGTAAGTAAGTAAGGTCATAAAGTATATAATATTTTTATATATTGTTCATTTTATCTTATACTTTTGCATATGAATTTTTTTGTAAGATAAAAGATAGCACATGCAAAGATGGATAGTTGCTAGCGGTGGAATCTAGGATGCGCGGCGCTTCGTTCTATTTGAAACTCGTCAGCTGGATCTGAATCTCAGAGTTGATGTTCACTCTGGGACTCGAACCCGGTATCGTTTGTTCCAAACACCATAGTGTTTTTTACTTAGCTACTTGTTGTCAATAAGTGCTCACAAACGTCTTTCGTCTTCTTACTTGAGAGCGATTGGAGGTTATAACGTTCGAGTGTCATCCGTTATAGAGTCTTTTCGTGCGTATTCGAGTAGAGAACTTAACAGTGGCGACGGGTTTTACAATCAACAATGCCAATTACCTTTAAACAAATAGAATCTTTGCTGGAACGTCAAGAAAAACGATATGAACAGTTCCAGGAGCGTATGTTGGAGATGTTAGCGAAACAAATGAATCTGAATAACAGAGATTTTACTGATGATTCATGTAATACGCATACAGACTCGATAATTAATTCCATTCAGGAATTTCACTTTGATGGCCTAGCTGGTGTGACTTTCGAGTCTTGGTTCAAGAAGTATGAAGATTTGTTCAAGGTAGACCTCAACAAACTGGATGACGCTGCCAAGGTCAGAATACTCTTGAGAAAGCTTGGCACGATTGAACATGAACGTTATAGTAATTTCATCCTCCCAAAGAATCCAAGAGATTTCTCTTTTGATGCAACAATCGAAACTCTGACGCAAATCTTCGCTGAACAATCATCTCTCTTTAATATTCGTTATCAATGCCTCAAAATAACGAAGTCAAGTGAGGATGATTGGGTAAAACATGCCGGCCTAATAAACCGTGAATGTGAACGATTCAAACTATCATCAATGACGGAAGACCAGTTTAAGTGCCTTGTATTTGTGTGTAGCCTACAATCTCCCGAAGATGCTGATATAAGAACCAGAATCTTAAGCAAAATTGATCAGTGTCCAAACATCTCACTACAAGAAATAACTGCAGAGTGTCAGAGATTAGTAAATTTGAAACATGATACCTCCATGGTCGAGAACAATAGCCGGCCGTCATACGTGCATGCTGTTAGTGAAAAGAAAGACTCCGGCTCACAAAAACCATACAGCACAGACAATCAGCCCTCATCTCCTTGCTGGTCATGTGGAGGTTGGCATTACAAGAAGTTTTGTCCATACAAAGAATATTTCTGCACTAAATGTCACAAAAAGGGTCACAAAGAAACCAGATGTAGAAATAAAACTCGCAGACGTTACTCTTCACAAGTCTATTCCAAGAAATACAGATCTGGTAAGAAAACGAACAAAATATTAGTATCTCATAACCAGACAAGAATTCACCGCCGAAGAAAGTATGTGACCGTGGACATGAATGCACACCGTGTCCGTCTTCAACTTGACACAGCATCTGATATCACCCTAATCAGTCCAAAAACTTGGGAGAAAATTGGGAGACCTACAGTTCACCAAACGAAGCAACTAGCGCACAGCGCATCTGGAGGTAAGCTTAATATTGTTGGAGAAATAACGTGCAATGTTTCGAAAAATGAGGCAACAACGAGTGCAACTGTTTATTTAACCAAGAACCCGGAACTCGATTTATTGGGGTTGGATCTAATAGATGCATTAAAATTAGCAGATCATCCTCTCAACAATATCTGCAGCCAAGTCAGAATCAATAACCCCTTAGAGTCAAGTCAGAGAAATGCCATTATAAAAAGGCATCATCACGTGTTTTCAGAAGGATTGGGCGAATGCACGAAAGCCAAAGCACTACTGACTCTCAAGTCAACATCTATTCCTGTTTTTCGACCAAAAAGACCTGTACCTTATGCTTCTCTCCCAGTAGTTGAACAGGAACTAGAACGGCTTCAAAAAATGGGTGTCATTGAACCTGTGAGTTTCTCCAATTGGGCTGCACCGATTGTGGTGGTCAAGAAGTCAAACGGCAGTGTCCGTCTATGCGCAGATTACTCTACTGGACTGAATGATGCGCTAGAACCCCACCAGTATCCTTTGCCTATACCTGAGGATCTTTTTGCTAAGCTGAATGGAGGCAAGGTGTTTGCAAAACTGGATTTATCAGAAGCTTACTTGCAGATTCCTGTCGCGGATGAAAGTAAAGATCTGCTTACTATAAACACTCACAAGGGCCTATTCCGATATAATCGGTTACCTTTTGGAGTCAAAACGGCCCCCTCCATATTTCAACAGGTGATGGATACTATGCTACATGATCTCCCTGGTGTTGCAGCTTATCTGGATGACATAATAATTATGGGCATTGACAGAATAGACCTAGAAAAGAAGCTCGACCGGGTGCTATCGAGAATAGCTGAATATGGATTCCGGCTTCGTGAAGAAAAATGTGACTTTTGCATGGAGAGAGTACGCTACCTCGGTTTTATCATTGATAAGGACGGGAGAAAACCAGATCCAGAGAACACTCAAGCTTTGAAAGCAATGCCGAGACCGACAGATGTTCCCACACTTCGATCCTTTTTGGGGCTAGTGAGTCATTATGGAGCTTTTATCCCTGACCTTCATCGTTTACGTGCCCCATTAAATAGTCTTTTAACAAAGAACGCAAAGTGGTGTTGGTCTAAAAGTTGTCAAACTGCTTTCGAGAAGATCAAGAAACTGCTACTCTCGGATCTGTCGTTGACCCACTATGACCCATCCCTACCTATTGTAGTGGCATCAGATGCTTCAAACTACGGCATTGGAGCAAGCATTTCGCATATCATGCCTGATGGGTCTGAAAAAGCTATCTCACACTCCGAACCCAAATGTTCCAGACGGTAAGTCTCCTGCCGAAGCCATGTTTGGAAGGCGTATTCGAACCGTTTTCAACGCCATGTTGCCATCGAAATTTGTGTACGGGCACAATCAAAATCCAAATATGCGGAACTTTAATGTCGGCGACGAAGTTTTCATTAAATCCTACACCGGAAAGAACCGATGGGAGCCGGGAAAAATTGTACAAAAGTTAGGAAAAGTTCTGTACAGAGTCCGAGGAACTTTTGGAACATGTATACGACATACGAATCAAATCCATAAGGACAAAAGAACGATGCAGACTCGAAATAACCGGCCAAAATTCCCGTTAGAGTCAACCTTGGACGTACCAACGATACATATGCCCAAGGACACTGAAAGGAAGCCTTGGATAAGGAAGACGACAAGAATAATGAGACACCACCGCAACCCAGTTGTCAAGCTACAAATAAATCCTAGAAAGAAATCTTATTCGGGGGAGGTGTTGGGATGACCACCGAGAAGCCACCCACGTACATAGTCGATTGACTAAGTTATCGATTAATTTATCGATCAGATGTTAAGTATTTGAATAGCAGTCAATTGATTAACTTATTGATGAATGTTTAAGAATTTTTAAATGACAATATTGATTATGTATATAATTTTGTATAAATACTCATGTTTGATTGTATATTTTGATTCTTGTCAATAAGTGCTCACAAACGTCTTTCGTCTTCTTACTTGAGAGCGATTGGAGGTTATAACGTTCGAGTGTCATCCGTTATAGAGTCTTTTCGTGCGTATTCGAGTAGAGAACTTAACACTACTGAGCCATGATATCTAAAATCAGGATTTTCCAACCACCTTCGATATCTACCAACCAGGTTAAATCACCGAACATTCGCTTTTCGTCTTCTTTCTTTCATAAACAACATCCCCACTGAGAGAATCTAGTGAGGAGGACTTCCCTGGAAGTGATTCAATCAAAACAGAACATTGTGTATTAGATAGTGATCGAATAAAACTCAATAAATAAATAACATCAATCGGTTCATGATCGCAATTAAAACCTTAATAATCTTCACAACCCTATACTGATAATTGCCATGTGCTCACTGGTGACTAGCTTCTTGAGGGAATTCTCGGAGTTCTAGTGAGAAGTTATGACCATTGGAACTAATCTGTGTTGAGTAGAGACAGGTATCTACCTCATTACAATGGAAGATGGTGACACCATTCCGTGGATTGGTTTAAGTTACATATTAACACCATTGAATGCCAACCAGCTCAGTGGTGGTCTAGAGATCAAGCGTTCACACGTGAGACTTAAGACCCTAAATTCGAATCTCACGGGGCCGGATCGTAGATGTTCACCGCTGAGGAGTCTTACAATAAAACGAAACAGCTGTCATGATCTCAATCAATAACCTAATAATCTCCACAACCCTATACTGATAACATTCAATAAAATGGATTAATTTCTATCAATATTTCTTATCCACTTATTATCAATCATTGTCTAATTAAATCCTATTAGATCTTATCAATTCTACTTAATGAACATATATATATATATATATATATATATATATATATATATATATATATATATATATATATATATCACGTTGATAATCAATAAATGATACCAACAAATACAAGTTCATCTATTTTATTGATTATATTCAATCACTAATCATATGAATAAAAACATGTCTATTAATGGAATATAAATAATTTGATATAAGAAGTTATTATTATTATTATTATTATTATTATTATTATTATTATTATTATTAAGTAAGTAAGTTATTAATATTGGTTAATGCTATGGTGACAATAAACCTATTCAATATGTGATATGGAATTAGTCTAATTATTATTGTATATAGTATAATAATACATTATTAAACATTTGTATATGTACGAGTAGTAAAGGTTAGCAAATTGTTAAGGTTGAAGGCTGAGCTATCACAGGTTCACGTAGTCTGCCAACGAGATCGAATTTCGGTGATCAAGGTCCAGTAAGCTAGCTATTACTGCACTCCAGCCCCGCTATCTAGAGTGAGAAGTCCAAGCTCGGAATGAGAAGTGTATTCTGCAGTAACCAGAGAAAAGAACGAAGTCTCCTTGGTAGAAAATATACTCATTTATATATTGATTGTACACCCGTTTTGATTAATAATTAGAATAAAATCACATACATAAAAAATACTCACAATGATAATAAATCATATGCTGAGTATAGTTCATAGTCAATGGAATACAAGAAGATTGTATATTATACGAGAAAAGAAAAGAAATATTACATTGTGTAATCATTACATTGAATCAAAAGAATGTAATGATGAATAAAAGTCATTTTAAGGAAATCAATCGAATATTGATTTTTCTTCTTATCATATCACAAATACAATGGGCATTTCTGATCCCCTTCCTCCTCCTCCTAATCCTTGTTGGGGACGTTAGATCCTCAGAACTTACTTGGGAAAGGACTTAATTTTGTAATTTTATTAAAAAAATTCGAATTTTTTTGTTTTCGCTCCAAAGACTCTCTTGTCACTTTTATGTCGTATTTCCTACTGAGAAATATCTTAAATGCTATTGGTCCGTTGCGTCTTTTAATATGCTATTTGGTAACTCTCACCAAGGACTGTTTTTGTACTGGTTATATGCATTTTGAATCTTATTTTTTGTTATCGCTCTTTTCTGGCTGTTTTCAGAATATACTTCCTCATTCTAAGCTTGGACTTCTTCTTTTAGTTAGCGGGACTGAGAAGCATCAGAATATCTAGCTTATTAGTCATTGGTCACCGCGGTGATCAAAATCAATAACAAGTTGATTATTTAATTATAATGATAAATCTATACAACTATCCTGGAAACTTCTCAATACTAACTATTAGTTTAAATGGAAGAATATCGGCATATTCCACGATTTCTTTGATGTATCTTTTAACCTTCTACATGTTGTCGTTTAACATCTTCAAGTTATCAATTATCTGATTTTCTATTTTGTAGATGGATTGGATCTATTTCATTTATGTTATTATTGGTTTATTTCTCATCAAACAACTTCTCTCGCTTCTATACATCATATTCATTTATACAATTGGAAAGAGATTATTTTCTAAAAGAAAATTATTAAAACATGCTGGTGAATGGGTAATTGTAACTGGTGCAACAGATGGAATTGGTAAAGTGTATGCTGAAGAATTAGCTAAAGATGGTTTAAAAATTATGTTAATTAGTAGAAATGAAGAGAAACTTTTAAGTATGGCTGATGAAATTGGACGAAATTATCATGTTGAGACAAGAATAGTAACAGCGGATTTTACAAATGTAAGTATATATATATATATATATATATATATATATATATATATATATATATATACCTTTTAATCGATAATAATTGTAAATGTAATAGATTTTAGCCTTTAAAAATATATGACATATTTGTTACTGGCCAGTAAGTAATGTTGGGTATCTGTTATAATTTGTGACCGCCGATTAGACAGCAGTGAATTATAGATCGGACCAAGGATGCGTAAAACACGTGCGAACAGCCTAGAGTTCTGGTTGGTCTTGCTTTCCGGCTAGCTCAGCTAGTTAAGTCGAGAACACCAATCTCAGCCCCTGTAATATGAATCATTTATTTCAACACATACTCTGTTTATATACCAATCAAACAGACCACAACGTACCAATAAAATAACAAAAACAGCATTTGTACAAATTATGGCCAAAAGTGGCTGTGAATGAAGGAGGTAATGATTAATAGACAGGGAATAATTCAAGAATGGAAAATCATATAATGACAGTTCATAGGTTAAAATAAAGCTTATGATAAGAGAGACATGAACATGAATAGTTTAGTTATTTAACAATTATGCAATAAAAATGTATATAAACTATTAGTCCATAAATGGATCCTAAGAATTACTATTCACTATGCTTATCGGGACCTAACAGTATTATGTTTGTTTCATCCTCTAGTATTGATCACATTCTGTAAATGATTTCATATTGTTATCACTAGGTAAATTGATAATGTACCAGATTGTAAAGTCGAATGAAATATATATTCAAATCCTTTTAAGTTTCCATGGTATTCTTTGTTGATAACTGTTAACTAATACAAATATAGATTTGTGATTTTCTATCAATCACCTCTTCTATATACTTGAAATTGAAAATCTTCAAGTTTATTGTTAAAACATTTATGATGTTAAATTAAATTATCATTAGTTAGAATAAGGTATCAGTCACTCAGTTACAACGTAGGACTAAGCACATATGTGCATTGGTCCAAGTTATCATACCTCATTAGCATAGCTAAATGAACACCGGATTCATACAAGTAGTTAATTCAATGGTGGTAATATACATAGAAAGACATTTCATAGTATATGAAGAAAGAATTTGTCATATCCTAGTGAAGATTACATTACGAGTAACGTCTGAAACCTATTAATGGACTAATATTATATATATTCTTATGGTATAACTATTCAGTAATTAGATTGTGTATATCTATATTCCTCTTATTATAAGCTTCATTTTGATTTATAGATTATTATGATGCGATTTACTGTTCTTAAGTTATGTTCAGTTTATTGATCACAGTCTCCCACGTTCACAGATACATTCTGGCTTGATCCTGTATAAATGTTATTTCCTATTTTATGGTGTGATCAGGTCTGTTTAGTTGGTATATAAACCAAGTATGCTTGAACAAAATGATTCGCATATTTGAATCTGTTGTTGACGTTCTGGACTCAAATGGACGGGCTAGACTAACAAAGGACCAACAATGATGCTAGGCTGCTCAGATCGGTTGAACGTCATTGGTTTAATACAGTACAAGAGTGAATAAGTCGTATTTCGATTGATGAATAAATTACGTGAAAACTAGCGGTCCATAAAAACATAACAGAATTAGTTCGAATAAGGTAGAGACCTCATTCGAACTGAATAAAATCATGCAAAATTGCTATTAAGATTAAAGTGTGTTGAGATGATGTATCTAGTTAAATCTTTCGAAGCGTCTAACTATTCAACGTTTATAATTGATATTCAGATTAACTATTTATCTAAAGAACGATTCGATTATTACGAAGTATATGTAAACAAGTTACGTAACTCATCTTGTTAGGTATTTGCAGCAATTAACTCGTTCATATATGTATAGAGTGAAAAAAGGCTTCTTATAATAATTGGATAGAGAATAATTACAATATACGATAATGTAACTGATAGCCAGTAGATATGCCTAAAGTCAATGATGACTATCAGCAGTCAAACGGAGACCAAGAGTACAAAAATATATGAATGGTATTGCATTTAAATAAAGATTCAAGGAATGCACAAAAACGGAAATAGTTGTTATGGTAGATGAGAGAATGTATTTTAAGTAATAAATAGAGTGAGGTTTGTTAGTTAATTTGAATGACTAAAAACAAATTACAAAGAAGCTCTGAAAGATGTAAAAACATTTACATATCTTGGGCAGCATCATTGATAAACACGATGGATTGGATGTAGATATGAAGGCGCGGATTGGAAAAACAAGAGCAGAATATCTACAATTGAAGAATATCTCGAATTCAAAACAATTGACAACTGCCAACATCAAAGTCGAAATTTTTAATACAAATATCAACACAGTTCTACTGTATGGAGCGGAAACTTGGACAATTACGAAAGCCACCATTCAGAAGATACAAGTGATTATTAACAGTTATCTACGCAAAATACTCCGGATACATTGACTAGACACTATCAGCAACAACCTATTGTAGGAGAGAACAAACCACATTACAGCGGAGAAAGAAATCAGGAAGAAGTGCTAGAAGTGGATAAGACACATATAGAGGAAAGCACCCAACTGTGTCACAAGGTAAGCTCTCAATTGGAATCCTCAGGGCCAAAGTAGAAGAGGAAAACCAATGTACACTTTATGCCGAGAAATGGAAACAGACATAACAATGAACAACAACTCGGTAGAACTAGAAATTTAGGCCCAGGACAGAGTGGGTTGGAGAATACTGATCGGTGGCCTATGCTCCATTGCGAGTAACAATTTTAAGTAAGTAAGTAAGCTAAAAACAAATAAACGTACGTGATATCATACATTCAAAATTGTTTTTAAAATGCAACTACTTACTGAATATTCACAAGTAGTATTAACAATACAATAAATTGATTTTAATGAAAAAAGAATGAAAACAAAATCTAAACTAACTTAACATATAGAAAGTGAATTAAACCGTTCTGTGATAATATGATTCAATCAAATTTTAACTAATCAGTTATTTGGCCTCTGTGAAATAACTTAAATTTCCTTTAGTGGGATTGTTAGTATGCAGTCCATAAAATATCCTATCACTTATTGACCGAAGTGAACCAGTTATAGATCAATCTAGTTCTTTAACAACATATGTTCATCATGAAAGCTTTATAGCCCTCGTTTACACAATTAGCGGAAAAGTGGATACATACATCTAATGTATTGATGATGTCGTTCAGAAGAACGACGAAAGTTCCATAACCAAACCATCCAGCTCAAAGAACAATACTTTATCAAATACTCTTATATTTTTATGTTATATCTGTCCAGTTTTCTCTAAGTTTTAAACTGCCCCCAAATGCCCTGATAAGGCCGAGAATGGGGAGAGTCAACTCTTTCTCTCGAAATGCTCTCATATGGCCACGCGCATACAGCCTCTTCCAGGGAAGTCCTAATCACTGCATTCTCGCACCACGGGTGTTGTTTACGAAAATGCGAGGACGGAAAGCGAAGTCCCGGTGCTTTAGCCGGATCCAAAACCATTGTGCACATGAGCTCCAGTATCCTGAAGGAACAAATGGCGTGTGAACCAATCATCGGTCACTGGCTACCATGAGACTGCATCTTCTTATGATGCTCCACTGCCTTGTGGATCAGATCTTCAGGTCAAAGGCTCGGGGTGTGACCCCCTAAGAGAACCACCTGCATCGGTTTTGGCACCCGGGCAGTATCACAGCCCTCACACATATCAATTGAGATTTGTATGGCGCATATGTATCTGCTGCCTCCTTGTACTAATATCTATGTGTTATATAAATAATATTAAATGATAAAGTTTTAAACTAAATCAATGTATCCAAACTATGTAATCTTCTAAAACCTTCCATATATTTATCAATTCACGTTTGTTTTCTTCTTTTCACAGACTGATGTCTATCAAAGAATACAAGAAGCTATAGATCAATTACCATCAATTGCATGTTTAATAAATAATGTTGGTATGGGCCCTCCTAAATTTGATTATTACGCAACAACAGATTACATGTCTATAGATTTTATTAAAAAAATCGTTTTTTGTAATAATCTACCAATTGCTATTATGACTCATTTAGTACTACCAAAAATGTTAAAACAATCAACAAATGGTATGGCTATTATTAATATTGGATCATATTCTGGGTATAGAGCTTTTCCATTATTATCATTATATTCAGCAACTAAATCATTTGTGAATCAATTATCTAGATCAATCTCGAGTGAAAACTATGATCGTCGTATTACTATACAAACAGTTTGTCCAATGTTTGTCTCTACTAAAATGATCGGTTATTGTAAAATGTCTATATTTATACCGGATCCAAAAGTTTATGTTAAACATGCATTAGATATGTTAGGTGTTGAAAAAGAAACATTTGGTTATATTGGTCATGCTATACAAGCTTATCTAAATAGTTTTTTACCAAATTCATTTATCAGATATTATATGTTAATGATGAGATGGTGGATTATAAAACATAAAGTACATTAAAGTAATATCTCATACATACATATATTACCATCATTGAATGAATGACTTCTATAAATTCAATATACATTTTGTTGTGGTGATAATGTGTAGCAACTTGGACCAATGCATATAGACATATGCCTGACCCTATGTTGTAGCTAACTGATTGATTAACTGACACTTATAACCTTATGTCTTTACTATTGCTATGATTATTATTATTATTGTTATTATTAACATTATAACATTCAATAAGACCTTTATCTACTTTGATATTCTTTCTTTTCACTTGTCATAATATAAATTTTACCTTGTATACGTAAACTATCTGTTATTACTTGTGACCTGAGTGCCCTGTTAATGTATAACGTAACGATATTACAATGAATTATCGATCGGACCAATGACGCATAAAATACGTGAGAGCAGTCTACAGTCATTATCGGTGATGCTTCTGCCTAGCCCAGCCTGATAAGTCTAGAACACAAATCTCAGCCTCTCAAATATGAATCATGTATTTCAAGCATGCTAGATTGATATATCAACCAAGCAGATCACATCGTACTATTAAATAGGAAACAACATTTGTACAAGATTTAGCCGAAATGTGACTGTGAATATGGGAGGTAGTGATTAATAGACAGGGGAAATAAAGGGGAAAACGAGCCAAAATGTCGACTTTTTCGCCTGTCTAGGGGAAATAATACGGATTTCCTCCTTTTTATCGCTTTGTCACTAAATTGTCTACTTTTCGCCTGAATTTCCGCCGAATTGTCTACTTTTCGCTTAAATATACGCCGAATTGTCTACTATTCGCCTAAATTCACACAGAGTTGAGTTTTTGATCCAACTTTTAAAACACCATTGGCATAACCCCAAAGGTCTCCTATATTCGCTTTCATTTTCACAACAAACCACAGTAAAACTGCAATCCACGAGAAAAACGGTATATATTTAAATAATTTTATTTCAAAGGAAAAGCGTATTATTGTACAACATTATAGCAGAAGCTTGTGCATCAATCGTTTTACATTTCCATTGTAATTGCTAATTCATCGTCATTTGAAAAGACTTGCAAAAGAAACACGTGATGTATTATTTATAACATATGTGCATTTAATCGTAAGTTCACTGATAATCAAACACACTTTCCCAACATCTGTAGGAAGAGTCAGCTCTCTATTTCTTTAAATGCTCTCACATGACAACGCATATACAGATACTGCCAGGGAATTCCTACTCCCTGCCTTCTCGAACAACGCGTGTTGTTTACGAAATTGAGAGGACGAGAAGCAAATGTAAAATGCTTTAACCAGGATGAGTGGATATAGAGGATCTACCTAGGGGAATTGGAAAACTCTGATTCCAATCCAGTGGTGTACATGAGCTTCAGAATCCTAAGGAAAGAAATGGCGTATGAACCTATTGTTAGCCAATGACCATCATGGGATTGCATCACCTAACGTTACTCCACTGTCTTGTGGATCAGACCTACGGGTCAAAAACTCCCATAAAAAACCACCAGTTTCTGTTTGAGTGTGTAGGCAGTATCCCAGCCTTCATACACATAGATTGATTTGTATGGCGCATATCTATTTGGTGCCTCTTTGTACCACTATTTATGTGTTCAAATAAATCTCAATCAAAAACTTAATAATCTCCATAACCCTATACTGATAATTGCCATGTACTCACTAGTGACGAGCTTCGTGAAAGATTTCCCGGATTTCTAGTGAGAAACCGTGACCAGTGGCCCTGATCCGTGTCGGATAGAGACAGGTATCTACTTCAGTACAATGGGGGATTGCCGCGCAATTTCGTGGATTGGTTGAAGTTACACGTTAACACCATTGGATGCTAGCCAGCTCAATGGTCTAGAAGTTAAGCGTTCGCGCGCGAGACTAAAGACCCTAGGTTCGAGTCTCGCGGGGCCGGATCGTGGATGTTCATCGCTGAGGAGTTTCACAGTAGGACAAAACGGCTGTCCAGTGCCCCCAGGTTTTCAATGATGGTCTAAAAACAATCAGTTCATGATCTCAGTCAATAACTTAATAATCTCCACAACCCTATACTGGTCACCGGCTACCATGGGACTGCATCTCCTTACGATGCTCCACTACCTTGTGGATCAGACGTTCAAGTCGAATGCTCCGGGTGTGGCCCCCTAAGAAAACCACCTGCTTCGGTTTGGGCACCCGAGCAATATCACAGCCCTCACACAAATCAATTGAGATTTGTGTGGCGCATATGTATTTGGTGCCTCCTTGTACCGATATCCATATGTTAAAATAATAATAAAAAATATGCTGAAAACAATAAATAATATTAAATTACAGTTATGAATCAGTTAAGATGATATTAGTTATTAATAATTGAACGGTCTATTTTGTGAGCATCTCAATTCTTTAAGTAGATAATCATTGTACGACTAACTCTCTATCAAAGTATTCGACCAACTAAGTTGGATGGTAATGAACAAGATTTTCGAAGTATCACCACCCCTTTTATTACTGCAAATAATTCTTGTTGATGATTACCAAGTATCCACTCAGTCGTTTAGTCACATATCATTGTTAACATTGTTAACAGAATGTAGAATTACAACACATGTGTTGATCATATCTACTGAGTATGTTGTCCTGTCAGATTGTATTTTAACCTGTCGCCAATGTAAACCGGTATATTATGTCTGGACAAGTCATTTGGACTTCCCTTAACCAGTCCGTTAGGTAAAAGCAACCATCAGTAAACGTATATCTCAGAGACTACAGACAGTGTGAATGGAACCTTTAGTCTACACCCAATGAAATGATCTCATAGCTGTTCTTATTTATTTTCCAAAAGACTCATATACATGAATATTTATTAAAAAAATATTAAACCAATCAAGGTAAGTTAGGTTGATAATCACAATGAAATAGAATGGGTCACCATACATAATAGGTAAGAAATACAAGTTGATAGTAGGAAGACAGGCATACTGATCATAGTAAGAATAATAAAATGTGATTTAAAAAAGTCATATCACTCGTTAAACGTTGAAAATAAGAGGTCAAACGTGGGTAAATAGAATTAGAATAGTCATCATAAAACATTAAAACCATTTGGTGTTAAGACAGCTCCACCTATTTTTCAACAACTATTGGATACCATACTATCGCTCAAGTCTACAAAGGAAATCATGATCCTTGAACGGCAGCACGCGTGGTTGGAAGACAAAGAAAAGATATGTACGAGGTAAATGTGGGAAGAGACACGTGGACTAGACTCTAAAACCAAATACGGAAGCGGATAGCCCCAGATCGCCCATCAACACAAGTAAATCTTCCCTTTGATATCCTATATGAAACCTTCAACTTACCAGAAGTCGCACAACGAGAAGAAGCTCAACAACAAGCTGACCTGTGGTGGACCAAAAATTAGCAATAAAGTTATTAAGTCCAAAAGTAAATGTAGTAATAACAACTTATAAATTAGTAACACATAAGAAAAATTCAGGGACGTTACTTAAATCAGCTAGTTGTCGCGTATTCCGTTGAGTTTGGGTACCAAAATTCACAATTATAAATGAGTAACAACTCTGATGAAGTAAATATGACTCCAGTAGTTTCCTTGACGTAGGATGTAATACTAATGATAGAACAGTCTAAAATGGTGATAATAATCAACTAAGAATGCGATTGGCTCGATAACGAGTGAGAATAGAACAAGGAGGGTGTGCGTAGTAGTGTATTTGCGAATAACCACAAGTGTGTCACGATATGTTAGTATCACAACGAAAAAGTGTTCAAGGTCATTTACTAAAACAACAGGTACAATCATTTGATGAGAAAAGTACGTACAGTGAAAGAATGACGAAATAAATACAAATAATGTTTAAAAATTATTCACAAAATAAGTTTGACAAACCTATCTCTACAGACCTCCGTTTCAGAAGGTGGCCTCTCCGACATCGGCGAGCAACAGTCAAGATGCAAGTCGACCACAGGAAAGTACGCTATCAAACAGGAGAGGTGTGTTGCGGACGTAAGATCCCCAGAACTCACTTAGAGTACGACTTAATCTTGAATTTACTTGTTTTTGCGCCAAAGGCGCTATTGTCACTTTCATGTCGTATTTCCAACTGTGAAGTATATTAAACGTTATTGCTCCGTTGCGTTTTTTAGCATGCTATTTGGTAACTTCTCAAGGACGGTTTCGTACCGTATGTATACCTTTTGAATTGTGTTTGTTGTTATCGCTCGTCTCTAGCCATTTTCAGAATATATTTCCCCATTGCGAGCTTGGGCTTCTTCTTCAAGTTAGCGGAGCTGGGATGCATGAAATAGCTATCCAAAAGGACAGTGGTATTGTTTCTCATTGAATTAATTAACTGTTGTGATCGTAAACTACGCATCAAAACTATTGTTTACACTTTAACTGAATCTTCCCTCGTTAAAATGACATTGTATTGAGTGTTTTGATTTTGCTTTTGTGTATTATAGTATTACAGTATAGGCGTCTTAGAGGTGACCTTCTAATGGCTTACAGTATCCCTAACACTTCTGGACATCCTCTTAAACACCTACTCAGGCTTAGTCCCAATACCAACCTAACGGTAACACCCAGAAATCGGAGACACAACATAGCAGAACGGACTGCAGGCACAACTTCTACTCCTTAAGAGTTGTTAAATGCTGGGATTCGCTGCCAGCTGAGCTAGTCCAAGCAACTTCCCAGGAGTCCTTCAGAGGAGACTTGATCTATTCTTAAGGACTAAGGATAGTATCTTACTATAAGTTACCAATTCGTTGTTTTTTCTCTTTTATCGTTAACATACCTAGGTTCTCGCCTGGAAGTATTGGTGATCCCCTGCTACTGGACACGGAAGCCTGTTAAGCGAAAGCTTCTTCTATTCCGTCCACAACCGTTTGAACCATTATTGCATCAAAGCATACTTGATCGATGTTCACTTGATTGATTTAGTCAAGGTTTTAGAATTTTTTTACACATCCTGTTTGTATCACCATTGTAGTTAATTTTCAAGATGGCTAAATATGCTCATAAATGTGGACAACGATATTGCTTATTCCCCGTAGAGGAAGAGATGCAGTGTGACGAGTGTAATAAGTGGTTCCACAAGATGTGCACCCGATTAAGCCCCGCTGCATATAAAAGGTGCTTGAAGCCCAACTCTGATTGGCTTTGTAGTTTTTGTTGCTCGAGCAAAACATCACTCATACAAGAAGCAATTAG